CTTTGTACATCTAAAGACAGAGGAGATGATCCATCAACCTGAGTGAAAAACACCCCATCCATTACCTCCTTTTTAAGCTGGGTTAAAGTCTTCACTCTAACTAAGCTTTTCTACTGTATGAATATTAATCTAAAATTTTCTGTTAATTTTGTTGCATTTAGCTTAATCCATTTTCTTAAACTCTGATTACCTTCCCCAGCCTTGCCAAAGAAAATTCTCCCCGTAGCATGATGCTGTCATTTCCAAGTTTCACCATGGGGATCATGGTGAAAATTGAGTGAAACATCTAACATTTCTATCACATCTGACCAGAACATCTTGTTCAACATGCTTTGCATGGCTCGTAGCAGTTGCTAACAGTGCTTCCTTCTTCCTTATTTCTTCTTTTCCCAGCTTCCATCAATGTGTGTTTTACATGATAAATAGTTTTCATATCAATGGAATATCACATCTGAGCTGCGGTTCTGTGCAGAGTTACACTGAGTTTCTTGGCTGCTTTTCTGATCAATGCTCTCCTGGTTCGGCCTGTCAGTCGAGGTTGAGCAGCCATGTCTTGGTAGATTAGCAGTTGTTCCATAATCTCTCAGTTTCAATATAATGGATTCAACAACAATCTTTTAAAGTTTTGAAGCCTGGATTACTGTTTTATAACCTAGCACTGCTTTACACTTCTGCACACCTTGGTGAATATTCATTTACTCAAAACATTCATTTCATTCATCCTTTTCCTAACATTTCAGCATGTTGCACTGCTTTGTGTTACTCTGTCAAAAGAAACTAAAATAAAAACAGCAATGTTTGTGAAAAAAACACAACTAAAATGTGGGAAAAAAGCTTTGGGGTCTGAAAGCCTTTGTAAAGTACTATATGTGCTGTGATTTGGAGAATAAAGGACACACATGGAGCAGGTGTGCATTAGAAACAGCTAAAGTTTTCAGGCTGGCCAGACTGTAATAAAGCAGAGATTTTACCTTAGATTGCAGTAAAAAAAAAAAAAAAATCTTTTTAAATGACATAAAATCATTATACTCATGTAAACATCTGCATTCAGACTCATCAAGACAGGTACGATTCAAGGCAGGACCAATCCATCTGATTAGTATATGTTACGCAAAATGAGGTTTATTAAATCATTTTTATAACACAAATAACTGTTTGATAATGATGCTTGTTTCAATAGAAAAGCTGATAAAAAGTCATTGTGTTTTTAAACAGGACCTCCTTTGAAAGTCGCCCCCTAAAAGAGCTTCAGTTCTCCCCAATTTGATTTATCTGGATTTATGCTGATTTAATTTCCTATTTAAATAGATTTTGCCGTTCCTACTTGACTCCTACACTCCATGAAGCCGCTCTGCATGTTACCAAACTCCTGCAGCCTGTCCATATATTCACTCGCGACTGAAACATTTAACTATGCAACACTCTTGGATATAACCTCTGAATATAAGAAGCTAATGAAACCGAAATCTTTCAAATGAGTCATGATTTTCACCTTTCCATCCATCCAAACAAATATAAAAAAAATAAAATAAAAAAACAACCTTTCACTCAAACCAAGACAGCGTTCTGTTTGGGCATGTAAAACGGTTTTAATGGTGGTAAAAGTGATTGTAAATGAAGCAGGTTTTTTTTATGGTCAGAGGTTTGTTATTTATGTGGATTTACAGTCTCACAGTGACAGCTTTAAGATGAAACCTCAAGTCATGGGGTTTAAACTGTCTTTCTTTTGAATGTTATCACTTGAAATGACAACCTGAACTTTTCTGAATTTTCCTAAGGAGGTGATATTTTCCTCTTTTCTGCCCTCATCCAGCTAAGGGCGGATTTATTTTTTACAAAAGATGTTTTATTGTACTTTGAAAAATGTGAATGATATTCTTTGGAGTAGTTTTGTTTCACCACAGACACAGATGAATGAAATGGTTAATATTTGTGAACTTTTATTATCACTTTGAATTATATATGTTTGTGTTATGTTGATAGAACATTTGCAACATATTGGGTTTCCTTTGATTTAAATTATGTAGTTTTAATTGTAAATTTGTTTACTTTAGCTAAAGCTCAGACTGCATTAGTATTTGAAGGCAGTCCAAAAATCCAGCTCTACTCTTGTGGAGGAAACCATCACTTTACGCTCTTGTTTCAAGGCCATCAATATTTTACATTTCAGATCCTTGAAAGCAATATGTAGCTCTGCGCGTTACCATTTAGAAATACCTTGTGACAGAAATGCTTAAATTACTGCACTAACATCTCATCGACCCTCACGTTTCCAGAATTATTACCTTTGAGAAGCATGCAAACTCGTGCCTTTGTATTAATGTCCCTGTAACTCCTTTTTTTCCAGCCTGCAGGAAGGAAAGCAGTGTTCATGATCCAAATTAATGTTGCTCCACTGAAATGAATTGAATAAAGATCTATTTTTGTGGTCAGCTCTAGAGAGCTGCCTAAAAGAAAAAAAATTGAGAAAATGTACGGATATAAACATATGCACAAGTGTTAAAGCAATGGTAGGATTCTATATCAAGAGCAAAGTTTGAATTCAGTGTATGTATTATGCACATGCCTCTGTGTTGACACATCGTGTGTTGAGAAATGTACTATTTCAAGCACAATGGGAACTCTTTGTTATGAAATGTGACATACTGTGCTCTTCATAATAAATATTTTATACATATGGTACCCTGTCTCCTGTTTTGGGCTCCACTGCTGGCGGTAAACACTAATCTTTAAGAAGCTGTAACCAAGCAGGTGTATTCTCCAGCTTGAGCTTCTTATGTCAGATAAACCTCACAGTTTTGTGCTTATTTAAGAGGATTCTTCACTGACCCTTCGCTCGCTTTGATCCAACTTACTGCCACAGACGCGTTAATCCCAGGGAAAGAAATCAGCTAATGGAAACAGCCCAACAACCCGACAGAGCAACACAAGTTTATTTTAAAACATGAATCAAATAAACCGCTTAGAAATCAAGCATATTAGAAGAGTTAAGGTAGCATATTTGACTTATATCCCACTAATACCTAGATATAACATTCTTGATGAGAAAAATCTGAATAGCATAAAGATAAGATTGTATTTGTTAATCTCTGTAGGACCAAAATACGCTGATTTACTTAATGGAGATAAAAGAGAATCACAGATGTTTTAAAAGAATAAAAATTTTACTATCAGTAAATTAGAAATAGTTATCAGAACATTCTGAGCCGCATGTTTACATGATACACTGGCCATGTTATTCTGATTACTTATGTAAATATGTAAATTGGTACAATCTGATTATTTTTTAGATCTGAATAGATTTCATTCCGATGTGAAAGGTGTGAATACAAACGTAGCCGATGTTTGTGATTCTGAAATATTCTGAAACAGCAGAAAAGTTGTACATCGCAGTGATTAGTTTCACATGTGGTAGTTGGATTAGGGCTGAAAGAATGAATCTGATTAATGGTCATTAATCAATTATTGAAATAATCCTAATTGATTAATCATTATCGTTAACTAGAGTAAAGAGACTCTAAAACGTGTCTTTAGCTAAAAGAGCATTTGCATTTAAGATAAAAAAAAAAACTTTGTTGTCAATCAATGAGCTCTATGCAGAACTCCTCAAGTTCAAATGTTTTAGTTCTGTAAGGAACCTCTGGCTATCTGATTATTAAACGATTCATCGAAAAAATGATTGACAGATTAATCAATTTGCAAAATGATCTTTAGTCGCAGCCCTAAGATGGATCCAAAACAATGCAAGAAAAGTAAGGAGTTGATGAAAAGGACAGGAAACACACTTGCAAATAAACCAAAAATGTTTACCTTGTGAAAAAAAATGCAAACACCAAAACACCTGGAATAAAATTCTTTGACCAGGGTTGGTTCTCAGGGAGACGGTGGAATGAGTGTTCGATAAAAACAGATCAGAAGCTGCTTTTGCAGCGGACTAATTCAACAAAGGTCCAGGTAAGCTAAACATAAGATAGTTATCTGCTGCCAGCCTAAAATAGTGACTATAGCTGCATTATTAAACTCCATCCATTTCCAGACACCCAACTCGTTTTTGAGGGGCTCTCATCCTACAGGACCTCTTGAAAATAGCACCGACTTCAACCCAGAGTGACCTTAATGTGTCACACTTTAAAAAGCTGGAAGACTCATACCACTACAACATATCTAAAGAGGTAGGTAGTATTGTACATTATCTAACACATACATATACAGTATAGGCACACTATCTATATATAAATAGATATATCTATCTTTATATGGGTAGATATTAAAAGAGAGATAATAGTGATTAGTGTGTGTGTCTAAAAAAAACCCAGAAATTGTGAAAACAAATTAGTGAGAAAGCCAGTGATCCACAGCTCTGACATCTACACCCCTGCTTGAACACAGCTGAATCAAATAATTATCCCCTCACCTGTCCATCAGGTTTGGTGATGGCCTGTTACTGCATCACTTATTTAAGTTTGCCAGAGCAGGATGTACCTAAAAGTTGTAGTGTAGCAGAACCCGAAGCCTGGAGTTGGATACCACTGATGTAAACAGTAGCCTGTAGCGTTTTTCTCTCCTGACAAAGGTTTTCTTTGCCTTATTTTCATATATACATAACCATCTCCTATATTCAAGTGCTTTTATGATCATCTGAGTAGCACAGTGAGAGCCATGTGGCTGTTGATTACCACTGGCCGATGTAAAGGTGTTTGTCTTACTGCAAAAACTAGATTTGATAGTTTTTCTTAACTCCCTTGCTCTCCCAACTTTAAAAACAGTGGCTTTCCATGAAAACGTAACAAAAATGTGTATTTATGATTTTACATATAAATCTGCCACATCATATAACAGCGAGAATTTGTGAAATAAATAAGTGTAGCCTTGACAAGTTCTTCAAATTAGTCTTTACCTGATCAGGATTTCAAAAACCATTACCTAAAATAAGTAATTGTTACAGATTTGGATCCAAAGGCATCTCAGACTTAAAAAAAAAAAGAATCGGCAAACCCAACTGTGTTCAGCTTCTATCATCTTCTATCTTTAATCAGAAATGTAAATGAACTTCAATCACATTTATAGCCATTTGTTTCTAAAAGTTTTTACAAGGAACAAAGTAATACTTGGGACATTTTTCTGCTAAGAAATATAGAACACAACACCATTCAGGTTTCTGGAGCTCTCCATCACACACTGAGTGTGCTTTGGAATAAACAGCATCTTTTTTTTAAACAATAAAAAGGGCAATAAACGTGGTATTTCACCAATTAACTGCACCACCGAGCAATTCCTTATCAAAGCCACAGAATGAAGACAGATCCAGAGTCCAACATTTGGTTTTTAAAGTTTCACATGCCTCACTAAAGGCTGTCTAATAAGAATCCACCTTGAAATACAGCAGCTTTCATTTCATTACATTTTGTGAAAAATCTATTTTTTTTTTTCCTTCCAGCACTGCAGGCTGTGGAAAGCAGCCGAACGTCAGTCATGTTTGGTCACTTCCAGGGGCTGATGGCCAGGTTTGCCACAGGGGCTCCAGTCGCTGCAGCTCTGTAGCCAGCAGGCCATCCTGGTTGTCCAGTAGCGGGGATTCTGACTTTTGTAGAAAGTCAAGGTGACTCATGGTGGGAGAGAAGCTTGTTCAAGTCCAACCTGAGCAAAGCAGTATAGGAAAGCAATCATCGGTGGAGCAATGGTCGACCACCCTGAAAAAACAAGGGGAAAAACATGTTTCAGTTAATTAAATGAATATGTCTATGTAACAGATCCTTTTGTAAAATTTTGCATAATTTTTTTTTTTTTTTTTGCATACATTTAACCCCCCCGTTTTTGCTATTTATAGCTATGCTGTGAAGGCTGCAGAGCAGGTAGGTAAGGAGGGCCGTCTGTGCCTCCTCCCAAACTGGCCTCCCTCCAAATTATCTCAGTAACCTGCACCTGCACCCACAATGCTTTTCAAGGGTCTATTATTTTCTATTCATGTCAAAATCTAATTCACATACACATGAGCTACTTAAAGTCCAGCTGAGCTATCAGCTACTTTTCTACAGAGAACAGATAGAACAACCTATATGTAGGAGCCACATTTTGGACATTTTTGTTGTACATTCTGGCAAAGGTTTTTTTTCTTTGTAAATATTTTTTATTATTCAACTAGGGCTTAAATGCAGCATCCAAATAGAGCTAATTACAGAGCATGATACAGAGCATGATACAAAAGTGTCTTTTCTAGGTACCCTGAGGAATAAAAAAGGTTTGCTGTCTAATAATCTCATTCTGATGGAGTTACTAAATCCTGATGTGTCCACAGATGCGCTAGCGGCACAAACATGGGTGAAATGACTTAGACTGGAGCTAATGGTAGCTAGACACTTCTTGTCATTTTTAGGATTAGACTTTCAGTGGTGGATTTATATCTTAAATGATGGAAACCATTTTCTGTTATTGGTCGTCTTTGCTTCCATTTTAATAACATAAGCAGACCCTCAGACGTCTGGTTACTGAAAAAACTAAAACACCTGGGATTCCCCATTTATTCAGGTGGGCTAAAAACAGCAGGGACTTTTGCTTTAGTTGCAGCAGACAGACTAAAAGCAAATCAAGACCAACTAAATGGAAAACTTTTGTCCCAAAAGGTTATGAAAGTGTAGACTAACGCCAAATTTCTTCTTATTGGAATATTGTATGTTTAATTCATTGCTGAGATCAAGATACAGTCTCTTTATAAATTATTCTTTACTTCTCAGGTAAATCAGTCTGTAGAAACCTTTCTTTATAATCTAATAAAAGTTTTAATTAGCTAATCATTCTTTTTCATGGCAGTCTGAACAGCCCAACCTATCTTTTTACCAAAAAAGTAAAAGTAAAAACTTTAATATGTAACCACATATTAAAGTTTTTACTTGACAATGACACATAGTGAAAAGTTTTGCAAGTGTCATATTTCATTGAACTTTTACCTCAAGGACTTTGTAAATAGCTGAGCAAATTTTTTTCCCCCTCAACTTTCCTTGTGTTGATATGAGGTCATGATACTGTCGACCTTTGCTCAGTGATTTGATAACACAGAGATGCCAGCATTGATTATTACTTCCTGACGCAGTGCGCTACTTTGCTACGTCTCCATTCTCCTCCACATGCTGGTCGTGAACCGCTCAGTCTGGGGTAGAGATGCGCCAATCCGATACCTAGATCGGATATCAGTTCCGATATTCACCAATTTATCTGGATCAGATATCAGTGATTTGATGTTGAATATCGAAGATCCAATCCAGTGATCTTTACATGGACCTGTTATATTTTATTTTTGCTGCTGATGTATTCTTCATTTGTTATTTAAGAAGTGTTCATTTGTTACTTTCTTTAACAGTGTTTGTGTCAAGTCGAAAATCTTCATTCACATGACAAGGTGTACGATTCATTCATTCAACAGTTGGAATGGGCTGGTATCAGATATCGACCAATACGCTAAACCCGGGTATCAGTACAGGAAAAAGCTGGTTAGATGCATCTCCAGTCTGGGATTTAGGTATAAATTTAAGATGAGGGACGATGCAAAAAGTATCAGATTTCAAATAAATCGAAGTTGAGCATGAAGAACTGCTTTGTAAATGTAGACTGACATTAGACTAGGTTAGACTAAAATTAGACCCAAACATAAACCCTTAAACTGGATGTGGTGTGAAACAAAAAACAAGTATATAGAGAAGCACCCAATGTCCACTGTAAAGTACAGTGGAGGCACTGTCATGCTGTGGTCCGATTTATACAGAATTCTTTAAGGACTTCAAGATATTCAACGTTTGAATTTATTAACTGAAATGTATTTTTTAACTCTACTTAACTGTCTTCTACAGCAGCATATCATCTTCAGAACAGGCTCTAACCATCAATTAAAATAAATTTCAACTTTCTACAGAGGAACAAGGTAGTAGATAACAAATAAAATGTTTGGTTTGTGATTTGCCGAATACAAAATAGACCAGAAATGAAAGCATAGTGAATTCACACAATAAGCTCTTTTGAATATTTACTGTAGGTTCTGTGGTGCCGGTAAAACTGGATTGTGCAAAGAATTGACAACAGAAGGGGCCAATAATATTATTAGCATAAAATGTGTTCCTACCCAATAAATGTATACGATTAAATATAGGAAGATGGCAATTTTTTGTACAATTTTACTTTTTTTCTTACACATGTTTATATATAAGGTCTCTCTCTGTATATATATAAGGTCTATAAACCTTACCAAGGCAGGTAAGGATATAAAAACAAGGGTTGTGCTTTACAACATTCTTGCAGAGGTTTTTACTTCCTGCATGCAGCCTATCCATCTTCCCTTCTTTAAACATAGTAATATGTCTACAGTTTACAAACCAATACAATTGACATTTCACTGCTGGAGTTGATCTGAATGGTGAATGGTGCATCATTTTTGCTTCAGTCTTTAATATCCAGATACTACTTGATGGATTGTCACAAGCTGTTGCACAGACTGTCAGGACACCAAGAGAATAAATCTTGTTGCAAATATTTCATTAGGCTTACACATATGAACTGTCAAAACAGCTTTTGGTTGAACTAAGAGAAATTAAATAATCAGTCTGCCCTCTGGAATATGTATAGCAGCTCTCCACGGGGCACAGAAGAAATGCAAACACTTCTACTGGCCTAAACTCATGGAGACAGGCTACAGATACAGCTATAGACATATAGTGTGGTTAGGAAATTGCAGACTCCACCAGAGAGGTCAGAGAGCAATTACACCAATGCCAGACCATCTGAAAATCTCAGTCAAGCTGATTTAAACACATTGATCTCATGGTAATCACCCCACACACACCCCTTTGAGGTTTACTGTGTGGACACCAGAGGGCATGAAAAGCTCTGGATCAAATATATTCAGTAGAGAATACCACCAAACTGCACAGCAGTTTTTTAAATGATTTATTTATGAACATAAACATCTGTCAAGTTGTGGTATGTTTATATCAGTGTTTAATCATCTGAAATTTGGGTGTAATTTTAGCACTGAATAATTCATAAGGAATACGTTTTTTCAAACACACTGGTTTTATTTGGTTAATTTTATATCTCTGTAAAAGATTAAAAGATGTCAGGACATCTTTTACTTTCTCTCTGCGACAGCAGCTAATCTTTTATCCAATCACAAAAGCATCATGAGGTGGATACCATGTGCCCAGACAGAAACTTGGAGACTGGTGAGTTTTTATATGTTGAAAGGAATGAAATTAAGGTTTGTGATTTACTAGTGAGTAGGACAGGCTAATAAGCTATTATCTAGTTATTGGATATACAAAATTATAATTATAATAAATAAATGATATACGTTTTAAAACTTGCTTTTATTTTAATTGTCCATTCAGGGAGAAGAGATTAATATAAAGGGCAATGCAATTCTAGCTGTGAGAGATCCTTACAAAACAACCATGTTTCACAAAAAACAAAGATAACAATAACACTAAATGTTTGCAGCTAGTGATATATCACAGTGAGCTAGTTAATCAGTTATGAGTAAACATCACTGAACAAAAACAAATGAACTCTTAACTATGGAAGCCCAATGAAAACAGATTTTACAAAAGTTTCCTAAACAAAAAAATGGATTAATCAATGAATCCATCCATAAATATAAGCGTTTTTTATACTCGCACCCAGAAAATAAAACTCTCTAAATCTCTATCAAATATTCTTAGGGTATTCTAGGTCACTAATAAGTAGAGCCTTGAAGAATTATCAATTTACAATGAGCAAACTTCTTGAAGGAGAGATTTAATTGTCATCCCTCGGTCTGCCCCTGGCTCAGTAGCCAGTCTACAGTAAAAGGCTTATCATTAATGGACAGGCTTCAGAAAGGCTGTAAATCTTACTTTAGGTACTAAATGAACCAAATACAACCATGCGGAGCAAAATAGGCACTGGCACATCCATGAAGCAGGTGTGCTACTCCAACATTCCTCACTCTACTTGTTAATTCCAGGTCTTATTTATCCATGCAGGTGCACAAAATAGCAGGAGGCTTTTTTGTGCACCTGCATGGATAAATATTAGACGAAGCATAAGCAGCACATCACATAACATCATTTTAGTCACATCTAGATCAGAGCTGGCTTCTAACTGCTGCTTTAAACTGTCACATAGATTACAACTGATAATTTTACAATGTCTAAAATAGTCTAAACATTACAGTTGAATTAAAACATTCATTATCTGTAGAGGGCAATTTACCTTGAATGAAGACACGCTTCCAGAAGATTCTGCCCACGTGTATTCCCCCAAGGAACACCAGATTAGACAGGATGAGCATGGCCGTGGACAAGGCACAGAGAAGGGCTGTGCAGCGCCTTTGTGTCGCCAAGGACAAATTCTGCTCCTGGGAAATCAGAAAATAAATATGAAAACTAAAAGATATTTTCATTGTCGGTCTATGATAGAACCCAGAAGCTAAAACAAATGAACCATATGACCATAAACTAGCAGAAGTACACCACACGATATCCAACTTCAGCACTATTTTGAGGATGAGCCATCTCCCAAAGGAAGAAGCCGAAGAAATCCCCATAAATGGAAAGCCAAATAGCTCAGCACATGGCAATTAGATGAGGCCCAGTGGGTTTGTCTGAATTCCAGAAAGTTGATCAACCATCTGCTTTAAAAGTATGATTACATGACTTACATTACAAATGATTTCTTCATTTGGATAATAACTAGAGAAATTCTATCTAGAAAAGCTTATTATGCAGCACAGCTGGAGTATAATACCTCGTTTAAATACTTACAACAATGGAGCGAAGGCAGGGTGAGGCAAAGAGATATTTGATGCCATTTTCTACTAGAACCCCAGCGCAATTCATCAGGGCCCAGTACCGTAAGTAGTCGAGGCCACCGTGCCAGAAGCAGACAAACCCGAAGGCCAGGCCAGTAGATAACACTTTGTAAAGAAGACCATGGCGGGAACCACCCAGAGGCACGTAAATGTATCTGGAAAAAAATCAAAACACTAAGAATGAGACCAAAATCATGTCTAAATATTAGACAGATGTGTCAACAGGGTTATATCCTTGATTGTGTGTTGCATTAAACAATGCATCTCTCCTGAAAATGAAGAAATTTACTTTCCCTGGCTAAATTTACTGATGCATAATTTGAAGGATAACGGTAGGAAAGTGGAGAGAAATTGGTGCTCTACGCATTTAGAGAAATCCTACTTAATCTGTAGTGTTGTGGTCAAGACCACACCAAAAGAGACAAAGGAGTACAGAGACAAGGCCATGACCTTTAGAGGACAAGACCAAGACATCTGGAGGCAGAGACCAAGATACAAGGCCCAATCCCCTAACCCTGTGTTTGCGCACTCCCACGGAGGGTTTGCCACATTAAGTGCTGTCTCAAACCCCGTAGTGGGTAGGGCGAGTGGACTATTCTTTCCTTAAATAGCGAGTCTGCATAAGTGCAGGTTTGCTGGAATTTGGCAGCAGGAGTAACAGCTGTCTAATGGCGGCGGAGACACGTGCATCTAAAAGTAAGTTCCACCGGTTTGCTGCATCTTTATCACACACAAAAAAAATAAAAATCACAAATTAGGTATAATAAAAATCCCAAAAATAAAAGGGCATCTTTAAAATACTTTTACTTGACCGTATACATTTGTTTTAAAAAAAGAGACAAATGTCATATTTTATGTCACCCTGCGCCACAGAGCTACAGCCACACACCTGGGGCGTCACTTTTATTCCAGGCAGCTGACACCCTGTCTACTGTTACAACTAGGATTAAGACTTTCCTTTTTGATAAAACGTATGTACTTTAAGAGGGTCAGGTTATCCTGAGTTTTCTCTATAGTTATGCTGCTATAGGCTTAGGCTGCTGGAGGACATAGGGAACACTTTTCAACATTCTACTTCTATTTTCAAAAATTAAATTGGTTAAGTTTTTAGCTTTATGTTCTGTTTTTTTTGTCTCCATTCTGTGTTTAGTCCCGTTTCTCTCCTAGACACAGCTATGGACAGTTATTGACCCAAAAAACAGCTTAGAGCTCATTTGTGTAAAGGGGCATAGTCTGGTTTTACGTCTTTTTAAATGTATATACCAGTAGCTCCTTCTGCATGCAAAGTTTTTTTTTCTGAAAAAGAACTGTGTCCCACTGGTGTATTATTTATTGTTTTATATACTTTGTTTTGATCAATGTATTAGTAAATAAAGCCCTTTTGTGTATATTTACCACAATGACACCCCGTGACTAGAGGTATACTATTGCAAATTTTCACAATGGGTAGACAAGGAAGTAAATGAGCAAAGCAAGTCAGGAAGTCCCAGATAAGGTGCAAATATAATAGGTGAAGCCCAGAGTGATGAAACATGAATAGCCCTTGGAATATAATACTGTATATTCCGCTGGTGTTTGCTGAAGTGGGAGCAAAAGCTGCAGAGGTATTCAGATGTCAAAGCAAAGTTAATGGATTCATGAGTGCACGTCCTTTCTAATACTGATGCGAGTGATAACAATACTATGCTTAGTCTATACAGTCTGACTACAAAACAACAGTGTCAATTTATTTATTATTATTATTTATTGATTTAAGCAAAGAGGTGAGGGCTCAGTTTTCTGTCACAGCTGCCTTAATCGAGAGCACTACAAGATCAGGATAATTCAAGTCATTTCAACAATGACATACCAGGAAGTTGCTTTTTTGTGTTTACTTTGCACTCATTTCAATGAAATTTTTATCTATTTTATTGAAATACTTTTTACCTTGAAGCTGATGAATTCACTAGAACTTGGGCTTAGTATTAGACACTGGAGGTTGGTCAAGAATTGTTGAGTCCTCGTTTCTGTAACTTTGGAGGTTGTGCTACTGTGTATTTACATCTGTTTATCATGATGGGGGCAGGAATCTTAAGCTCAAAATTACACTATAAGGATAGGCATGTAATGATCATCTACGATCACATGGTCGTTTGGTCGTCCTTTTTGTACAGGCATACAACATGACTCTGTACCTTTAAGTCTTCATATAAGTACTAAGTAAAGGGGTAGTTTTATAAATCCTATAACAGGAAAAAAGTAAGTAATATGTTAAGTTAGAGACTGTGCAGAACTAAAAGCAAAATAGAGAAAATCTGTTTTATACATTAGATATGCTGCACTTCTCCCCTGTAAAAATCACCCACATTACATGTGGATTTCAAGCATCATAATAAATGGAGAAAACCATTTATTATTATGAAAAAAAAATAGATTTAAATATGCTAGATATGCTTTTTTTTAAAAGATATATGTTAAACCTTATTAGTTACACCTTAAATGCTGTAATAAATGGCAACACAATGCACTCATGAACTGTGAGGAAGATCTCAAACAGAAGATATTATGTCACTTTCACAATTTCCTTTCATTTAATACAGTAAATGTGGCTGTGATGGAAAAAAAATAAAGCACTCCAGGGAGCAAAATCCCTGCCAAGATGCTAACAATACGGCAGACTGTGTTAATGAATCAAAAATTAGGAAAACTGAGATTCACACCAAAGCCCTGACACATTTATTGTTCTTTTGTTTTCCTTTCAATGTTTCATCTAACCGGGTAATAAACTCGTTCTTGATGGAAACGCGGTATTTATGATGAGTTACTTTATCAAACATTAAATATTTAGCACATAATTCATGCATGAGATTGCATTGTATGCGGTCTAAAAATAGAAGCGCTATACTCCCTCGATAGCCCCACTTTATGTGCATAATGCAACACCAATCGGTGACAAATGGCTTCATATACTGGGAGCACCTCATCTGTCCGCGAGGTAAAGCCAGCGCCTAAAAGCGCTACATCACTCCAACACACATCTCACTGTGTGTGCGGTGTGCGGCCGAGCTGGAAACTAATTATCTCAGCCTCCCTGTGGCTAATCAATGTTTGTGAAAGATGAGCCAGCATTTTCTGAGCCCTAAATAGAGTGGCCAGCTCGGCCATATTGTGGGATTAAAGCCGGAGCAAAAACAGATGGAGAGCGTCAAAGACTGAGAAAACTGAATACCTGAACACGCTCAGTGTCGACTCATCAACTAACTTAATTAGATACAAAGGTGCTGTTCACAGATGTTATTTAAAATATTATCATTTTAAGATATGCAGAACTGCCTGACTACCGGTAACCTGTGTTATGTAACACCAATACACTTAATGAAGCGGGGGTTCAAAATAATATGATGACAGGCTTTACGGAGAAAGTCTTTAAAACAGTAGTGCTTGTGCTTTGTCATTACAGTTGCAGTCAGATGGAAACAGGATAATTAAAATGATGATCTTGTTTCTTCTAAACTGGGAGTGCCTCTTCTCCCTGACACCAACTTGCTCAGTTAGTCACTTTATGTAATTTCCTTATGACACAGCAGTTGCTTTTGTCATTTCTGATTTCTTAAAACAGGGTATTGACTCACCATAATCAGCTTAACATGAGAAAATCTCTTCATTAGCACAATAATATCTTTAATAATAATATATTTAAAAAACATATAATGCAGGAGTTGTAAAGAAAATTGATGAAAAGTTTGATGATAAAAGGGTCAGATATCCATGTGCTTTATCTGCTGGTATGGCTATAACCTCCTCACAGCAACGCCATCATCAGCTAGAACTGCACAACATAAGGTCAGATGAAAAATCCTGCTTTGATGAAATATTTAGTTTTAACGTCTCGTTTTTAAGAGTAATGCATTAAATATACCGGCCTGTTGGATGGTCCAAACTTCCCTTGATGCCTAAATCAGTTGCATATTTCTAGTGATTGAGATGCTGCACCTCCGAAAAGTATTAAAGAATTTATAATGCAAGACAACAGGAAAATGTTAGAAAATATAAGTGATCTTTATATCACCAGAATTTTTAGCTGCATATTTTTTCTTGTTTATATAGTGCAATTCTACAATACAAAGTGTTTTTAGGCTTGTAACATTTTTTCTGCTTTATGAATAAAATCATAAAGTGCTGCTTATAGTATTTAATCAGTTTATTCTCAATTCATAAATATTTATTTGGTATTATGAAACAATTATCTTTCATAATACCAACTATGTTAGGGACTATGTTTCTCGGTTGGCCTGGGAGCGCCTTGGGATTCCCCTGGAGGAGCTGGCCGAAGTAGCTGGGGAGAGGGACGTCTGGGCCTCCCTACTGAAGCTGCTACCCCAGCGACCCGGATAAGCAGAAAAAGATGGATGGATGGATGGATGGATGGATGGATGGATGGATGGATGGATGGATGGATGGATGGATGGATGGATGGATGGATGGATGGATGGATGGATGGATGGATGGATGGATGGATGGATGGATGGGTATGACAAAAAAGAAAAACAAAATAAAAAAAACAAAAGAAGAACAAACTGTGGATAATAAAAGATTAAGAGCATATTATCCTGTCAGTAAGCAAAGTCTCTACCTGCATTAGCTGCCTGGTCTGGATGGCTGAATGTGCACTAATTAAACTGTGGCATGAAGCCACACAACACTTAGTCCAGGGATCTGCTATCAGCCCTCATGCCACACTTTAGATACCACTGCATTCAAAGGTAAACTTTATTTTATAACTCAGATTGGACTTTCATTGAAATTAAACTTGTATAAGAAAAAAGGCTAATTTGCTGCTTTTAATTTGGAACCATGTTATGTTGAAAGTTCTTGGTTTGTGTAGCAACAGAATCTCATCACACTCCTGCCATAGCCAGCAGGCTCTGAACTGGTAAACTGGGCTTTGTAAGGGAGGCAGGTTAGCCTGAGAAATGTTATCGCATGCTTCACAAAGCAGGACTGACATCTTTTTAAACAAGACTAGAATAGTAAGTATTTCTATTGTCAGCTTACAGGTAAAAGAAAAAAGCTGAGCTAGAATGGGTCACTCTTTCTCAAGATTTCAGCATCAGGTAAAACAATCAGACTGAAAAGAGAAATACAAAAAAAACTGCCAATGAAGTGTAGTTGAACTAGAAGGACTTGCTATTAAAACTGTAAAAGCGATATGCTTTGTGCACCTTTTTATTGTTTTGTTTTTTTTAGTATTCTTATCTGACTAAATGCACAGTAAATAGAATAAAAAAATGTACTATAAAATTAACAAAACATTTTTTTTTTTACGCAGGTTGGAAGTAAAAATCAACACATACAATCACTCCCCTCCATCATCAAAATCCTAGCCAAATTTTTCTTCTTTTAACCTGAAGGTACGGTGCGGCACTACTTAGTGCGTCATGTGGCCGGTCATTACTTCCGGGTTCCTGAGCCAATCAATCAATGTTGGCAAAAGATCAGCGGCATGAAAAAAATGGAAGTCAGTAAGGGAAGCAAACAAAAATACCAAGAAGCTTTGTTACGACATTTTAAGGAGCCTCGAAACCTACAACCTTAAAGTCACTGAAACATCTTGCCTTGTGATCCTTAACTTAGCTGCTTTACATCCTCGTCTCTTTTTACTTGTCCAGCTGTTCGACACTCATGAGTTCATGAGTTTATTTTTCTTTAATTATTCTAATGACGTGTGGTTGAAATGCAATGTATGACTTTCATTTGTTCATTTCCATAGAATTTATATTTATTACTTTAGTCAATTCAAGTTACAGTGAAGAATATAAGTATTTGAACCTCCAGCTATTTTCAAGTTCTCCCATTTATAATTCATGGAGGGGTCTGTAATTGTTATCATAGGTGAATGTCCACTGTGACAATCTGAAAAAAAAAAATCCAGAAATCACAATGTATGCTTTTTTAACAATTTATTTATATGATACAACTGCAAAAAAAAAAGTATTTGAACACCTGAGAAAACCAATGTTAAAATTTGGTACAGTAGCCTTTCTTTGCAATTAGAGGTCAAAGGTTTCTAGTAGTTTTTCACCAGGTTTGCAAACACTGCAGGAGGGATTTTGGCCCACTCCTCCACACAGATCTTCTCTAGATCAGTCAGGTTTCTGGGCTGTTGCTGGGAAACACAGAGTTTGAGCTCCCTCCAAAGATTCTCTATTGGGTTTAGGTCTGGAGACTGGCTAGGCCATACCGGAACCTTGATATGCATCTTCCAGAGCCTTTCCTTGGTTATCCTGGCTGTATGCTTCAGGTTATTGTCATGCTGGAAGACCCATCCTCGACCCATCTTCAATGCTATAACTGAGGGACGGAGGTTTTTCCCCAAAATCTCACAAAACATGGGCCTTGTCATCCTCTCCATACAGTACAGTTGCCCAGTCCCATGTGCAGAAAACAATCCCAAAGCATGATGCTACCACCCCCATGCTTCACAGTAGGGATGGTGTTCTTGGGATGGTACTCATCATTCTTCTTCCTCCAAAAACGGTTAGTGGAATTATTAACAAAAGTTCTATTTTGGTCTCATCTGACCATATGACTTTCTCCCATGACTCCTGTGGATCATCCAAATGATCATTGGCAAACTTAAGACGGGCCTTGACGTGTGCTGGTTTAAGCAGGGACACCTTCCATGCCATACATGATTTCAAACCATGACGTCTTAGTGTATTACCAACAGTAACATTGGAAATGGTGGTCCCAGCTCTTTTCAGGTCATTGACCAGCTCCTCCTGTGTAGTTATGGGCTGATGTCTCACCTTTCTTAGGATCACTGAGACCAGGTGAGATCTTGCATGGAGCCCCAGTTCAAGGAAGATCTTGTTCATCAGTCTTGTTCAGCTTCTTCCATTTTCTAATGATTGCTCCAACAGTGGACCTTTTTTCACCAAGCTGCTTGGCAATTTCTCCATAGCCCTTTCCAGCTTTCTGGAGGTTTACAATTTTGTCTCTAGTGTCTCTGGACAGCTCTTTGGCCATGTTAGTAGTTGGATTCTTAATGATTGCATTGGGTGGAGAGGTGTCTTCATGCAGCCAATGACCTTAAACAGGTACATCTAATTTAGGATAATAAATGGAGTGGAGTTGGACATTTTGAAAGCAGACTAACAGGTCTTTGAGGGTCAGAATTCAAGCTAATAGACAAGTGTTAATATCCTTATTTGCAGCTGTATCATAAAAATAGTTAAAAAGATAATATATTGTGATTTCTAGATTTTTTTATATTATATATTTCACAGTGGACATGCACCTAATTTCAGACCCCTCCATGATTTGTATGAGGTGGGAGAACTTGCAAAATAGCATGGTTTTTAAATACTTCTCTTCCTCACTGTATTTTTGTCGTCATTGAGGGTTTTTCTTTCACTAAACGATGGGTATCAACAATTTTGTCCATGTGTGAATACTTAATGTCTTCATAGTAACACAAAGAGAGAAGAAACGCTTTGATGGTTCAAGTCAGTGTAGCTGGAATGTAAAGCAGGGATAAAGGAGGCAGCTGAGCAAGAAAGTTTGCCTCCCAAAGACCGTTTTCCAGCAGCTACTTTGCCCTCGATCAATGACAAGGGAGGAAGAACAGCTGAGGAAGAGTCTAAACTGAGAGGGTAGGTTTAGAAAAAGGTAGGGTAGATAAAACCTTGGTTCATAGAGAGAGAAATCTAATTAGCACAGAGCTATTCATGTTGGTCTAGTGATTGCTGCTGGATTTGCCTCCTAAGGGAATGAACAAACCACCATTTATGTTAAACGGAAGCATCCCTAAAAGCCAACCACATCTACACTCCTGTATAAATAATTACAAGGAATATTCTTGGGATCAAATGTTTAACAGCTTGTGTAAATGTAATAAATCAATCAATCACCCCCGAGGAGCATTTTTTAGCTGAATGCTGAACCTGAAACCCTGCGACACACAAAGCACAATGGAATGGCAAAGAGTGACCCACTTGGCTGCCCAGGGAGACGAGGTGTCTGTGACTCATGTAGAGCTCATCATTTAACACCTACACGCTCATCCAGCCCTCTTCAGACGATATGGGCAGAATTTTTGGAACTGCATTAAAACGTCTTTACAGGCACTTTAGAGTGTGGAACCGTCGGGGTATTGTGTCACGGGTATATCATCTCGCATCTGCAGAAAGGATAATTGCGAGTGATACCATTAAGCACAAGAAAACCATTTCCAAGACGCTCTGCTTAAAATGGAAAAACCAGCATTTGCAATTAAAATGTAGGGATCTTGAGCGGATAAATTAGAGCTACTTTAATAAGTCTGTTAGGCCTTATTACATGCAAAACAGCAGACGTAAGAGAATCTCACCTTTTGAGTCAAACGTACAAAAGAGAAAAAATAGCCAATAAACAACACAAAGAACATTTTCACAGACTTTTCTATTGCGTTCCTTGACAACCATACAGCTGTACACTCGCTTTAACGTAGAAATGTTTTTTTAACAAGCAAGCCGTAAACTCCCAGCAGGCTGAGCCTAACCAAGTGTGCATCATTAAAAAAAGAGGGGACTAATAATGTCTGTGTTCCAAAGTGAGAAAAACAAAAAAACTCTCCAATTACAGGTTGGTATACTAGACAAGGCTGCATCTCTTCATGGTTCAGGAGCAGAAAGGCAACAGAAGAGAAATTCACCCCCACCCCCAGTACGCGTCCTCATAAACATAAGAAAGCCAGCCTGCGTGCAAATTCGGCATCATTGTGATGAAACATTGGAGCAGGCAGCATGAGAATGGCACACTTTCTCAAAAGGTTGTTCTGCTGCCAAGTTCAGTGTCCCGCAGGAAAAAAGGCTCTTTAGAGTCTGCAGTGAGTAATAAATACAAGTCAAAATTGTTGGCAATCATAATGCAATAAAAGCAGACAGAGACATTTTGATTTAGATAACATTTCACATCCTTAGCGAGCATTAACATGTGAATTAGTCAGCCCGGTGCTGATGAAGAGCCTCTTACCTGATGAGCCATCGATACAGCCCCTCATCAAAGTGCCTGAGAGAAAACAAATGGATATTTCAGTCACAGTTTTGCATAATAAAAACCACATAGTAAAAAAAAATAACACATGAACATTGAATTTGCCATAATATGAACTCTGTACCACAGCCAAGTGCTTGTGGGCCGCCTCCTTGTAATATCAAAGATAAGATCTGGGCAGCATCTATAAACTTAAACAGAATCTTTGATAGAGACGCCCGGAAGCTTTGTGCATTCCATCAATGTCTCTGCTGCTGACCAGCTCAGCATTTCAGAGCCCGATTGGAGTGCACCAGCATCAGCACATCGGTTCTATCTGCTATGCGGGGGGGGGGATTTTTATCATGCAAAGCCAACACTGCCTTCTGTCTGTCTCCACGTTATGATCTCAGAGTTAGGGAAGCCTTTCTCATGGTTCATTACATTCACAAGCAACAGCAGGCATACATCTGGAAGCAGATCTAACCAACTGGGTTTGCTGTAACCATTAAGTAAAACTCAAACCCAAATTGCAACATTTAGGATCATTAAAACAAAGTTCAGCTACATGTTGAAGAACTGCAGTTGTTGGCTTTATAGAGAAATATCTGAGGCTTTACTCTTTATCTAGGCAACTAAAAGTCTCAGAAGCTGGTTGAATTTAAAACAACAAACCTGTTCAAATCCTGAGATAAAAGACTGAGGAAACCTGAACAAGTCAAGTTATCAAACATGAACGATACAAAGATTGTTTCTTTCATCAAAGACAGATAAAATAAAACAGTAAACACAATTTATTCCAAGTCTAAAAACATTTCATATACCAACATTTTCTAAAATCTTTCCTCCAGACTCTGTAAATCCTCTTTGGTACTATGCAGCAGTTATTAACTTAGGTGTTAAAGGCATTGCTTGTTATGTGTCTATTAACCTGAGCAATTGTGACCCCTTCAGCATAAATCAGGTATGGTCTTTTCTTGCTTCCTATTCAGTGACAAGAAATCTCCATAAGAGGCTTCATAACCTACAGTTACATTTGTCTCTTGTAGCGTTTTCTTTTTGTTGTAATTGTAAACATCATGTTTTTTTTCCATTTGGAGGACTTTGGTACCATTTCAACTGGTATTTCTCCTTAAATACAAATCCTTTATACTATTGTTTAGGAACTGCAAATATACTTGAGTCTAACCACAAAATTATGCAAATCAACTTGGTGAAGATCAGTCATCCGGGTTATACTGTAGTCATTGCAAAAAAATGCACTTTTTTGCGATGTAAATTAAGTCAACACTACTCACTGCATCCCCTTTTCATTTTCTAATATTGCTTAAAAAGTATACAATGAACTAAATAGCTGGCAGTGACATCACCATCCAATGATGTAACATGCTAAGCCTTTAGGGGTTTTAAAAGCAATTTCTGTCCAACTTACATACCTGAAAATAAATTAAATAAAATATAGCTCCATATATATTCCTGATTAAGTAAACTTTTAGTAAATATTTAAAGGTAAGATAGAAAATACTGTTTTCCAATAGAATTACTTTTGCGATTGTTACAATGTCTGATTTATTATTAATTAAACAAAGAAAATAAAACTGCAATTTTTAGTTCTGGATAGAACATATTGACAGACGAAAACGTGTTTTTTTTTTAATCTTAAATGCAAAATGTTTACATGTTTGTGTACAATTTTGATATACAGTAATTACTGCTCTAAGTGAATTGCTCTGTCAGCTCAAGGCCTGTTTTAGAGTCTCTATACTCCAGTTATCGATTAATTGATTAGTAAATAATTTGACAATGATTCCAATAATTGATTAATCACGATTAATTCAATTAATTGTTTCAGCCATAATTTATTTATCAGCATCTTTATTATAAATGCAGAAAACTGCATCTGAATCAGTTTAACCAAATACGTTCCACCATTTTTTTAGGGACTGTTTTTTAATTCTTTTTTGAGTTTTTATGGCACTAGAGGCTCGTTTTTATGGACGGTTGGCTGACAGGAAAGGGGGTATGAGAGACGGGGAGAGACATTAGAAAAAAGGACCATAAGTCAAATTTGAACCCAGATCAGCCGTGACGAGGACTAAGGCCTCCATACATGGGTCATGTGCGCTAACCACTGTGTCACCAAAGCACACCCTTTAGAGGACTATTTTGCCAAACACAGCAGTTATTTGGTAAAAACTTAACAAAGGGATTTTTTTTCATTCAAAGAAAGAGAACGTTCCAATAAAAGTGTTGATATCAGTGGCAGGACACCTTTGGCAAAGGACCTTTCCCCAGAATATTATCTATTGTATTTGAGGCACTTTGCAGAGCAAACTGTATGTTAAGCAACAGTAATTACTGTTTTTATAACTTCTGTTATACACAGAAATTTGATTATCCGAAAAAGTAAGAGAAGGATATGTAATAGTTTGTGAAAAAGGTAGATATAGGGATATCAGCCATGAAGCATTACTCTGGTAGAGTAGGCCATGTTTGATAACCATTATCAATGGTGCTTGTGTGTTTAAAGTAAAACAAACGAACTTGTTGAAAAAAAAATAAATGGGTAACTTGTTTTAGAAATATCAAATCTCCCACATGACACTTTTGAGGTTTTTGGGTTAAGAAAAAATAAAGTTGCGGTGTTAACGTAGCATTACACTTTCTGATTGTTTGAATTAACTTATGAAACATAATATTGTACCCAAAAACGAGCTCATGTCTTTCTTATGAAATTTCCACCTCTATTCAAGCACACATGCTTCCCATAATCAGGACAAAAGTAGTGTTGTAACAAAGACAAAAAGTCAGCTGCATTCCATCTCAAAATGCAGGAAATAGCTTTTCAGAGTCTAAATTTCCAAATTTTCTGGTAGAGGATACCCCTGGACCGCACTACGACGCACAACGCCTAAAATGATACACCAAGGTGTACACCCTATGAAATATTCCTAGCTAAAAGCCTGGTTTTAAACCCATTTTAATATCTCGTATTTAGAATAACTAGATGGTATTTGCTGCAGTCATTCCTGAATATAGTCACTTTCAAGTCCAACTTTAATATTAGATCCATAAAGTGAGCATATGTTCACGTCTGATCCCCACATTAGCTTAAGTATTGAGTTTTTGTTGAACTAAGGATCCCCCCCTTAGCATTAGAGACCGGTAGAAAAAAATGGTTTTCTTTGCAATCTGACAAAGCTGATGTAGTTTAGCTTTTACTTTAAGGAAAGATTCAGTTCAAAGATTATTGAACTGAACCCAGTAAGCAAACCATTACAATGTGAAGCACATACAGAGATGCAAGGCTGCTTGTGTGAAGGTGACCTGTTGTCCTCTAGCAGGTAATGACTCAAGATGAGACAATTTTCTCAGGCCAGTCTAGACCTGATTGAAAAAGGCAGAGCACGCTCTTAGAAAGCGTTTTACATCACAGTTACCCTTTTTCCCCGTTAAGGCTTTTTTTCAGTCTCTAAAACATAAGCAATCTCAACAAAGACACCGTGTTACTTGGTGAGTGGTCTCACCTCCACATCCCTGTGAAACTGTGCATGATGCTGACGCAGCGAGGGAGCTTCGGGGGAACCAATCCATCCAGAGTAGCGAGCATGGATGGAAACCCAAACAGAACCAGATACTTTACATAGAAGAACTGGACGAGAGCCAGGGCCAGACCACCTGAGACGGAGAGGAGAGGTGCTGAAACAACTTCAAAGCTCTAGGCAGACGACACAGAAAAGCCATCCATCCAAAAAAAAGCCATCAACCACAGCCGCAAGGAAACAGTGAGAGATTAATAACTTCACTTTTACTTCTTAGCTAAACATGATTCACCTCTGAGATAAAAAGTCAGTTATTTATTATGAATTAGTAAATCTAATATTTAACATCCCTACCCTGTTTATGAAAAATAAGAGAAAAAGCAGAATGTAAAACATGTCTGAATGAATGGGCTGAGCTGCCAACAGTGGATTAATAACAATTACAAAAGATAGATTATTAGCAATTGTGTAACATAATTTTTATTTAGAATCTGCTAAATATACAGTAGATGTATCCTAAAATTACTGCTTTAACATGTTGTGTTCAGTGATAGGAGAGTGTTAAAGGGAACACCTTGTTTTGCCTGACAGAGTGCAAAGCCTTACCCAAGGCCCAGGGGGGAAGTATTTGCAGGTAAGTCTCATTGGAGTGAATGGAATGCATGTACATGACATGGATCATGTACTCTGCCAGGCACCACCACAGTATGATCCGCCCCGATCTGGCCAGAACGAAGCTAAGAACAGATTTCTCCGAGTTGTTCTCCTCAGCTGACCTCCGCATCTACCAGTGGAGCCGGAGCAAGCAGATACTGACGCTTAAACATGAGACACATGTTAAGGATTGAAATAAATATAATAAATGAACAAAAAGGTTTACATTAATACTTTATATTTCGACACCTTCTACAAATGTAGTGCATTTTCTACCTTTAAAAACAACTAAAAACAGGAAGGTGGTTGTGGATTTCAGAAGATGGCATCTATCACCATCCACACGTTGAGATTTCTGAAAGACCTTGGAGTTGGTGAAGCAAACACCCTGGACTGCTCCATGTGCGCAAAAACTACCTTAAGAGGTAGGGTGACCAGTGGCCTCATTTATGCTGCTGTGAGTTGGGGCAAACAGACGCAAAACAGCAGTGGACTCAGTAAACACTGTGGAGGATAGAGGCGCATATATATATATATATATATATATATATATATATATATATATATATATATATATATATATGTATATATATATATATATATATATGTATATATATATATATATATATATATATATATATATGCAAGCATCTATGCATACCTGCAGCTAAATGCTCAGGATTCTCACAGTGTATTTCAGGCCTCTCTGCTAAAAAAAAGTTGCAGTTAAGCTAAAAATGAGGCAGATATGGTCTTTTTTGTGAGCGTAACTCCTTTTGACTGACATCTAGGCTACTTCCCAAACACATGCGCATGCGCTGGTTATATTGAAAGCTTTCATAAAAACCGTAATTATGCCCATACTCTGACCTTTAACGAGCATAATGGCTGCAGAAACGGTATTTTCACACACATTTAGCTCCATACTTGCTCACATAAGGGGAGCGCTGTGAAAACGTAAACCCCACACCGTTACGGCCGTCATAGGTTTGGCTCACTGGAAACATGCTACGGCCCCCATAGCAGAGAACAAGCTTTAAAAAAAAAAATCCCCTCCCATTTGCAAGTAGACCAAAACATTTGCTTTGTGTGTTATTATCAGGCACTTGAAGCACACGTTTGTTGCTTTGGTTACTTTTATAATTCAGAATTATCAGAGTAATGAGGGGAGAACAGAAATTCTTTTCCTTCCAATTCAAAATCCTGCAAAGTTTGATGTATGTTTGAGTGAATCGCATTCAATCCCAACGGAATGCATATGAGAGAAACTGTGGGATGAATTAGAATTCAACTTTATTGTCATGAGTACATAGCAAAGAAATGTGGTTTGCATCTATCCAGAAGTGCTAAAAAAGATATAAATATTATTCGGGTGTATGTACAAGCATAAAGTAATAGTTAGGGACTGTAAAATGTTGTGTATAAATATAAATATGAATATGGGAGCTACATGCACACACCGGGCCAGACAAGATCATTTTGTTTTTGAGGAGAATAAAGTCATTATATTACAAGGTTAAAGCCGTAATATTACGAGAATAAGGTCATGATGATTTAATAAGAACTCTTGCACTGTCATCCTCTGCATTGAAATGAGGATTGTACTTTGATATTGGTTTTAGAAATAGGGAAAGATTTATTATTTTAGCTCCTCAGCATCAATTATTATATTTAAAAAACAGAAATGACTAATCTGACAAGTATATTCTATCATGACTTTATTCTCACGACATTTTATTATCATAATATAATAGTTGTAATACTATTACTTTAATCTCACAATAATATGGCTTTTATGAAAATATTAAAAGAAAGAATAAGTCAGAATCTTATTCACAAATGATAATTATTATTGTTTTTCTCTTAGTCCCTAATACTCCCTCTAAAAATGTGATAAAGCTCAAAGGATCAAAATGATTTTGCAGCCTATTGTCTCCACAAAAGATTTATTTCTACAGACCTTGGTTGAAGCTTAGAATGTTCCAAATATAAAGAGCCGAGAAAAGCCTCAAATGAAGAGAAATTTGTTTTCATGTTTATAAAACCCAAAAGCCTCCGCATTCATTCTAACAAGAGAAGAGACAATTTTCCACTCACCTGCTCGGCATAGGCTTTGAAAGTGATAATGGGTCCGTTGTAGAAAAAAGGATGATAGAAGGTGTATGAAAACAGCCAACAGAGCTGCGCGGCTGGACCGCCTTCTAAAGGGCTCCAGCAGTGCTCCAGGCTGAAGCTGATGAATCGAAGGCCACAGACTGCAACGCTGAAGAGGAGCAGGTAGTACTCCTCCTCTGTGCTGTACCAGCCTCTCTGAGTAAGAAGACAGAACAATTATTGTTAGTACATTCATAGAAAAATTTTTTCAGTTCCGTATCACTCAAGTAAACTTTAACAGCCGAATGTTTTCTCAGTATTTCAATTTTCACTGTAGCATGGCTTTCAGATTTTAAAATAAACTGTTTCAGTCAGGTCTCTGTAATAGGACTGAATTTGGAAAGGAATGCGCCAAAAAAATTCACTAAAAATGTTTTTAGCTTTTTGAATTCAGCAAAATGAAGAGCCCAATGGATCAAAGTCTTCCTTGTATCTTCTGCCCCCTTGTGATAATTTTGAGTATTACATTCAGTGATGCTCCTAAAGGTGGATCTGGTGCACCGAGGTGATGAATAAATGTTTATTGAATACTTTTTCTCCTGTCTGAGAAAGAGAGGGACCTCCAATCAAGTGCCCTTATCTCTGCATTTTAATCTAGATTCCATTCATGATATAAATGCAACCTAAACATGCTTCAAACGTCAGGAAAACAGAGCTCACCTGAATGTCTTGTAGTGACTGAATGTGAATCGTGGAAAGCAGCAGAAGGTTAGTGATCCATGCCAGAGCAGGCTTTCGCAGCTGGGCCACTGAGAAGGCAACAGACAGATGCAGAAGCAGCACAGCCACGCCTTTATAGCCCAACACGTTAGTGGCTGCCAGGAAGTCGTATACTGTGAGCGCAAACACCTTCAGCTGGCCAAACAAAAATATACAGTGCTTATAAAACAATATATACATTTGCTTTAAGTGTGATGAAGGAGGTTCTCACCTTTGGGTAAAATATTGTGGTCAGTCTTGATAATATGCCATGAACAACTAGAGTCCAGAGTAAAGACTTTTTGGCCCACTCAGTCCAGAAACTCCACTCAAAGTCAGACGAGTCCTTTATAACAAACCATCAACATAATCAAACCTAAACCAAGCAAAAACAAGTCTTACATTACTGGACTATTATTCCTTACCCTTTTGAATCCCTTAAAAAACCCATTTTCCAACTGCAGCTCTCTCTGTAATCCTGCTTCATGCTCTGAGATGGAAATGGGGACAGAACAGGGACAATTTCCTTTAATGTTGACCTCATTCTGATTTGATCAAAACCAACATACTGACTGCCGTCTACCTTTGGAGAACTTGTGCAGTTGGTAGAAAGAGTAAAGATGAGAGCCCAGTGAGAGCACCCAATACACAAAGATCTCAGGCCATGACAGCGGTGACGGCTGGGGCTTGAACTCAGATGTCATCAGGTCAATGTCACTCTGCTGTACGGTCTCTAAAACGGAAGGAGACAGATTTTAAAGTTTAGTGGCTTTCACTCTTTTTCCGTTCCGCATTACTCTATATCTGGCCTGTTCAATCTGTGACTCTGTGACAATTATTACTTTTTCATCTATTCTATTTGAAAAATTCTAACCAATTTCAATAGTATCTGATTTACTGAATATTTGGAACTGTATTCAGATAATGTAATGTACTAAAATGCTTCTTTTATGATTATGTTAAGCATAAAAGTAATGTCTAATATTAAAAATGCCTATTGTGATGCTTCAGTATTTCCATACTTCTGGAAGGAGCCAGAGACCAAAGTAATTGTATCAATAAATTTCTCCTAATTGTCTTTTCTCTAAATGTGAGATTTTAAAAATATCAACTAATTTAGTAATCCATTAATCGTTAACTGGATTATAGAGACTCTAAAACATGCCTTTAGCTGACAGAGCGACCAATTTAGAGCTGTGATTATAAAATTGTAAAAAAAAAAAAAAACGAACAAAAACAAAACATGAACCTTTTTCATTTAGAACTAAAAAAACATTTTTTTTGACTGTCAATATGCTTGAGTGGAAAAGTTTTAATTTCCCCTGATTTAATACCATAAAAAAATCTTCTTTAATGAACCTTTTGCTATCTGGTTATTAAGCAATTAATCGAAAAAAGAATCAACACTTTCCTGTCTGTTAAAGCACATATTACAGTGTTGGGACTGGTCTAAATAGTGATGAATGCTCTCCAGCCTAAAAACAACACATCTCAGAAAGTGTAGTGAGAATGGATCCCTGTGGATCTCTGTGGATCCCTGTGGATCTGTCAAGGCATCAGAGATCTTTCAGGATCTGAACTAAAACAGTGGAGGAATATGAAGGTAGATTTGTTTCTTTATTATTCAATCAAAAAAAGGTTGCTTCAATCAAAAAATATATTTTCAATTTAAAAACAATCTTCACTTCAATGGAAAAAAAAAACCTTTTCAATCAAAGAAAAAAAGCATGCAAAAATATATTTGAGACTTAAACAAATACTTTTGAACACTGCTTTTCTTTGATTGGAAATGTTTTATTTGATAGAAGTGTAGTCTTTTTTGTTTAAAGCAACTTTTTAAATTGAATATAAAGAAACAAATCTACCGTCATGGTAGGAAGCATTTCTCCTCTATGCTCCTCAGCTCTGGAAAAAAAAAAAATGTAAAACTTCAGATATACAGAAACTGCTGATTTTAAAACTGATTAAAAAAGAAAAATCACGATTTAGGCTAGCTTTTCTATAAAGGATTAGGCCAAAATTATTATAGCAACTTATTGTTTGTCTTTAACATACATTGTTATTATTATTATAGCTTCTTTGTTGTTTGGGTTGTCATTGCTCTTGCTTTAATACCACAATCAGAACTTATATTTCGATAAAAAAAAAAAAAAAAAAGCAAACTACCTTCAGGGAAATGTAAAATACAATTAAGTGTTCCCAGGAATGGTTTATATCATATAAACCGGTTCCTTTTCATTAGAATATACAAAGTTTTATAAAATACAATTACTGTAGTTATTATTATATTGCAGTTTTATTTTGGTTAATAAACTGAACAAGAATTCAGCTTTTTATTTTTTTTTTATGAACAGCAATAAAGAATGTCATTAATTTTAGCTGCATTCTATTATATATGGAAGGAAAACCTACCATTACAAACGCCTGTATAAAAAACACATTGTTTTAAGACACCTGAATTAAACCAAGTTTAAAATATTATTTAAACATTAAAATGCATGTAAAAATGTCCTTCTTACCTGCAAATGAAATCTACTTATTCTCTTCGTAGGAGGTTTCAGTACCCCCAGCATACCGAAAGGTTTATATCATGGTATCCAACTATTATTTCACTTTATATAAATATACTTCCGATCGACTGCATGTTTAAATGAAACTATTTATCAATCTGCATTGTTTTCACTAAGATATCCCCGAAACCTCTAGAAAATATCTTTAGCTGTTAACTCAGTTATCCAAAGACTGAGCGACTCGTAAGGTTACCGTGATTGTTGCCTAATAAGCTGTAAAATGTAAACAACCCTTCATGAATCTTCCAGACATCAATCATTGCTTACTGCTGTAACGTCCTCAGCTGCACAATTTAACTTGTTTCATTGTATCAAATAACTTTGATTGAGCATTAGCGCCCCCAGTGGCGTGGAAGACAAATAGCTTCTTCTTCTTCTTCTTCTTCTTCTTCTTCTTTTTTTTTTTTTTTTTTTTTTTTTTTTTATTTCACTTAAAGTCACAGAACAATATATAAACAAACAAACAAACAAACAAATAAATATGCCAGGGGGTATGTCACAATAAACAAGTACAGTTAGGAGAAAATAAACAAGCAACTATACAAACATATGCGCTGGGGAGTGTCATATATATATATGTGTATGTATTATACAAATAAATATATCTTTTACAACATTAAATTGTCTAGAATTTCTAGTTGGGAACAGACTGTTATGGTTTTTTGAGCTTTCTGATGAGAAGAAAGATGAATTGTATGAAAATATTGTTTGACTTCTATTAAATAAGCTTTAAAATCCGTTTTTTTTTTTTAGAAATTTAAATTTATGCAAGTGAAATTTGGCCAACAAAATTAAAAGATTGATAAGAAAAGGTTTGGGAAACATTTTACTTTGCAGTTGAAAGCCAAATAAAATGTTTTTCCAATGAAGCTGAAAATCTTTCATAATATTTGAATTCACATAGTTGCAAAAGTGTAACCAAAATGTCTTAGAGTATGGACACAACCAAAACAAATGTGTTACAGTTTCTGGGAGAAGATTACAAAAAGTGCAGTTCACAGGAATATCAGGTTTAAACTTTTTTAGGTAGTCTTTTACAGGATAAATCCTGTGAATAAGTTTGAATGAGACTTCTTTCACCTTGTTAGTGAGGAGAAAGTGATTGGGTAACAGCCAAGTGTATTTCCAGGAGACATCAGACACAAATCGGTTCCAATATGATAGAACAGCAGGAACAGACACCACCTCTCTCTGCAAGAGGGATCTGATTGACTTATTGTTCTTACGAAGCGATGAGGTGAGACATATTTTGCCAACAGGAGAGTCCATGGGAGTCAGAGAGGGTGATGAAGAAGAATCGAGTCTTGGCCTCTGTCTATATAACATGCAGATCCCAGACGAAATGGCACCAAAAACCTTTGCGTATTCTCCAGAAGAAATAGGGAGGTCAAATTTAGAGAGAAATCCCTCATAACTCAATAATGTGCCATTGTCATCAAACAGTTGATCAACCAGAGTAATGTCATGCCTGAACCAAGAATCCAAGAACAATGATCTTTTCTTGTACAGGATGTCCTTATTGTTCCAAATAAAATACCGGTGAGGCGAAAAGTTGTGCTTGTAGATAAGTGACCATGACAAAAAAGCCTGACGGTGAAAATTAGAGAGATTGATGGGAAGTTTATGTACATCAAAATTACATACCAGGAAGAAGGTTAAACCCCCAAGTTTTGAAAAAATGTAAAACGGAATAGTATTCCATATAGAAGTTTGAGATGCGAAGAACTGGCGAATCCAATTTATTTTGAATGTGTTATTTAATGTGGAGAAAGATAAACAGTTAAGCCCTCCATTTTCATATGAGTTAATTAAAGTAGATTTTCGAATGTAATGTATTCTATTCTTCCAAACAAAGTTAAAGAGCAATTTGTCTATTTCTTTTTCAGTGCCTTTATTAAGATCTAAAGCCTGAGCAGCATATGTAAGCCTAGAGATGCCTTCAGCTTTACTAAGTAGAATACGACCTCGTAGTGAAAGATCCCTAACCAACCACTGATTAAGTTTCTTTTTAGCTTTTAGAATTAAAGGATCAAAATGTAAGGAGCTACGATTTTTTTGTTCTTTTGTAATGGTTATGCCTAAATAAACAACCTTGTTTTTAACTGGAATGCCTTCAATTGATGTCTCAGTGCAATCTTTAACTGCCATAATTTCACATTTTTTGAGATTCAAATGCAGACCAGAAGCTTTTGAGAAATTATTTAATACTTGAATTGCTAATGAAACTTCATCCTTGTCCTTTAAAAACAGGGTAGTGTCATCAGCCAGTTGTGTTAGGATAAGTTCTTTTTCTGCAACAATTAACCCTTTCAGAGGACTGGTTTTAATATGATCTGCCAGAAGCTGAGCTACCAAAAGAAACAGGTAGGGGGAGACTGGACACCCCTGTCTGATTCCTCTGCTGATGTTAAATCTAGGAGAGGAGCCATTCCTTAATTTGATAGAACTGTTGTTGTTTTGATATAGAGTTTTGATAATCGTTACAAATAGCTTTCCAAATCCAAACTTTTCTAAACTTTGAAATATAAAGCCATGTTCTACAGTGTCAAAAGCCTTATAGAAGTCTAAAAATAAAATAAGTCCATTATCAGAAACAAAATCAGGATAATCTAAAATATCAAGAACAAGTCTTATATTATTTGTGATATGCCGATTTTTCATAAATCCTGATTGAGTTTCGTCAATGATTGAATGAAGAACTGATTTTAATCTTTTAGCGATCACCAAGGCTAATATTTTATAGTCGGTATTGAGAAGACAGATAGGTCGCCAATTATCGAGAAATAAAGGGTCTTTGTTGGGTTTTGGTATAAGTGTAGTTAAGCCCTGAGTAAGAGTTGCAGGCAGAGAGCCATTTTTAATGCTTTCATTAAAGACCTCCAGTAAAAAAGGGGCGAAGTCATTAGAAAAGTGTTTATAGAATTCAGCACTTAGACCATCGGTCCCAGGGGATTTGTTGGTTTTGAGATGTGCAATAGCATCAAGAATTTCATGAATTGTGATTGGCTCCTCACATCGTTTCTGGTCGATATTAGAAATTGGTTTTACTATTAAATTATTTAATAAGGAATCAATTGAGGCTTGACAGAGGTTAGAACGATACAGATTCTCATAAAATGAACAACAGTATCTAGCAATATGATCAGGATTATCAATTATTGAGTTGTTAATTTTAAGTCTGCTAATAGAATTATTGACAGCATTATGTTTTTCAAGATTGAAAAAGTAATGGGTATTTTGTTCTCCTTCTTCCATCCATTTTCTTCTTGATCTAACAAAAGCACCTTTACTTTTATTTATGTATATATTGTCTAACTTAATCTGTAATTCAGTTAATTCTTGTTGTTCTAAATCACTTAAAGTGGAAGGATTTGAATAAGACATCTCAACAATTCTGGAAATTATACAATTTTCTTCTGCTCTAATAGATTTGACCTTATTACTACTAAATTTTCTTAAGAATTTTCCAGCTTCAAATTTGAACAATTCCCAATTAAGGTTATAGCGAGCATCTACATGAGCTTTAGACCAATACTGATTGAATAACGTTGATATATTTGCAGAGACTTCTTCAAATTGCAGTAAGGAACTGTTCATTTTCCAGTGTGAGTAAAAAGATTGTTTTTTGTCTGAAAAATTTAAAATTAATTCAATAGCTTTGTGGTCAGTAAGAGGAGTAGGAAATATTTTAACAGTTACATTCTCCTTGTTTACTGTGTTTGATATTAACCAGAAATCAATTCTAGACATTCTTGTTGACGATTTATTATTCCAAGTGAATATATAGTCATGAGGATGGACATCTCTCCAGATATCAGTCAAGTTGAATTTTTCCATAAAGGATTTGACAATTGAGTTGGAGGCATTAGGTCTGTTTGGAGGCCATTTATCAAGATCCCCATCAAGAACAGTATTAAAATCTCCTCCCATGATAATTATAGCTTTGGGGAATTTCTTTAGCCATTCTAAAAAAAAAATCTCTATTAAGTGAAATAGACTATCATTCTCTCGTTTGTTGTTGTAACCATAAATATTAGCACAAATGAAGCAATGGTTTTCAAAAGCAAAAACTTGACAGATATAGTGTCCCATTAAGTCACTTTCAGAGGCAATAATGTTCCCCTTAAATCTATGTTTTAACGTCATAACTCCTGCAGAATGCTCCGAACCATGAGAAAACCAAATGGAATTTCTCCATTGGGCTTTCCAAAAATTAACATCAGAAGCAACTGAATGACACTCCTGAAAGAAACAAAAATCAGGATTGATATTTTTGGCAAATAGAAACAAAGGTTTCCTTTTTAACATATTACGCATCCCCCTGGCATTGAGAGATATAAATGAAAGGTTTAACATTTAGAGAACAAGTCAAAAGGGCTCGGTCAGAGAAGGTGAATAGTAACAAACATCGTGGACCAGTACCTTATTAAGGAACTAAATATTAGTTGGCACTGAAATATACATACTTAGAACAGTATGGTGAACCAAAACAGGATATCTGAAATATAACTTATTCCTTTACTGGGTCAAAAGTTGCAGGAATCTCCACGCCGTCAATGAAACCGCGACCACCTATGAAATATGCTGACTTCCCCTCTTCCCGAGCTTTCTGGATGGACGGCCATAGTTTCTGTCGGAAGTCACGGTCTTCTTTGCACAGATCTTCAGTAAAACGGAGACCATTTTTTTTAAGAAAGTCGTTGCCTTTAGCTGCTTTCCATATGTAATTTCGATACCTTCTGGCGACAAAATGAATGATAATAGGACGAGGACGGGAGCTGCCGACGAACTTTTTCCCAACTCGATGAGCAACATCAATGAAGAGCTGAAGCCTCTCTTTTTCCCTCGGCATAATCTCTTGGCAGACCCGGGTCACCTCCGCCACCGCGTCCTCCTTCTCCGTCTCGGGGACTCCGTGAAGTCTGAGGTTCCAACGGCGACTGTAGCGCTCCAGCTCGGTAACACGAATCGAACAGGCTGTGGTGTTTTTTTCAGTGAGCTCAACACGTTTTCCCATGCAGTCAACCTTTTTTTTAAAAAGTTCAATTTGTTCAAGCATATTTCCCAACTTCATTTCCAGTGCATCACTTCTTGTGTTGATCAGGTTAGCAAGCATGGCAATAGGATCTTCAGTATTTGGGTTGCTTGTCGTGCGAGGAATATTGAGAGAAGGTTTCTTGGCAGCGGGAGACTTACTTGGTGTTACCGGGAGCGGGGGAAATTCATCCTCCTCAGCATCTGTTTGTGGCTCCGTGCCAGTGTAGTTATGGTCATCATTAGCAGGCATGGTAGTTGTGAGCAACTTATGCTCATTGGGTCTTTTCTGAGCAGCTTTTCGCATTTTCTTTCACGAAGAGTAGGGAAATTCGATAAGAACTAATTTCTTCTCAAAGTGTTATTTGGGGAAGCAAATAACTGCCATCTAACGTCCTGGTACTGAGAGCACGATGCAATATGTCTTACACGTCCGCCATCTTGTCCGCCATCTTCTTCTTCTTCTTCTTCTTCTTCTTCTTCTTCTTCTTCTTCTTCTTCTTCTTCTTCTTCTTCTTCTTCTTCTTCTTCTTCTTCTTCTTCTTCTTCTTCTTCTTCTTCTTCTTCTTCTTCTTCTTCTTCTTCTTCTTCTTCTTGTGTTTTATGGCAGTTGGCAAACAAGTTTTTGGTGCATTACCGCCACCAATTGAAATGGAGTGTATTTCGCGAATGAACTAATTCAATATCCTACTACATATTACTACAAAAGTAAGCTAAAAAAAAAAAAAAAAAAAAACCTAAATCCTCTTTAACACATTTGTCTTTTTAAGAAATCTCAATAAAAAGAAAAAGAACATGATTTAGAATCCAAGTCTAAAAGGTATTTTAAGTTTAACTTCAATTTATTGACTTGTAATCTGTTTATCAATTAAATTCTCTCATTTACATGCTTAGTACAAAACAATATGATGTGCTCCACTGTTTCTTCTTGAAAACTAAAATCACACTTCCCTGTATCATGTTTCCATATTGTAAACAACATGATATTTAAACCTGTATGGCCAAACCGTAACCTTGATATCACTATTTCCTCCTTTTTACATAAAGCCCAATTTTTTTAAAATACTATAAAACCATCTGCCAGTTCCTTCTTCTTTCCATGGTTTCTGCCATCTTGATCTAATCCTTTCCTTAATTACTGATTTTATTTCACCTTTACTAAAGGGAATTATTATATCAATTAAACCACATTTACTTGCTTGTTTTGCATCAGCCGTCTCATTCCCCTCTATTCCTATATGAGAAGGAATCCATATAAAATAAACTGTTAATCCCATGGCTTAACTCTAAATAATAAGTGCTGAGTTTCTGCTAATATATCAGGTCTGCTGTCTGAGTGACTGTGTTTAAATGAAGAACACAAATAACTTTACAAAAACTGCTTTTTAAAGGATTTTTTTAAAAATATATCGTTATAGAATATTTTTGAAAGTTCTATTTTATATTCTTAGATATTCTCCTTTAGTATGTATTTGTCTTCCTTTTAAAATTTATTTTCTTAAAAAAACTGCATGTGCAGGTTAAATTAACTGGCACTTCCGGTGAAAAAAATATCAGTAAAATAATATTTTATTGATGCTTCAAAATTTTAGACCTAACCATGTAAAAAAAAAAAACAACAACAAAAAAAAACAGCTTCCAGTACTTGACTTGAATTTTATGCATTGTTTTTTTTAACTCAGAGATACCACTATCATCATTACCCTGGCTATAATTTTAAAACCTTGATGTTTAAGAACTATTGTCCTGCAGATTTTAAATGCATCCCTGCTCCAACACAGCTGATTTAAATAACTGAATCACCTCCTCTGGTTGACATAAAGTTTGGCAAATGTGTGGTAACTACGCCATTCATTAAATGCATCCCATAACTAGGGATGCAAATAAAAACATACAGGACAGGGGATCTTGAGGACCAGGGATGGAGACCCCAGTCAATTTTTTTTAAAAGATGGAGCAAATAGAGTGAAAAGTTTTTGCACAATCTCTCTACATCATCCAGGGTCTCAGCTTCTCTCTTCTGATTAACAGGTCCAACATTTAATTTACACTTTGTGTTCATTAAGCCATATCATTTTCAATTTATACCTCACTTACAGATATCAACAGACCTTTATTTTAAATCTCCTGATGACTTTATCGTAATGTCATATGCACTTAAGTGAGATTTCAACATTCGATTTTTAATAAACAGACCCACAACCTCACATGTCCTCCATTGTACACATCACTGAGCATGAAGAGATTTTTTCTGACCAAATGTGTGTTTGTTGCTGGAAAAAAAGCCTTAGTCTTATCAAACAAAAACCTCCTGTTGAAGTTCAGATAAATATTAGAAAATGTTACATTTGACTTTTTTATGGTAAAACTTGAAGACATTATTCTGACATACATCCCAAACAATAGACTGTCATGTGAATGCTATCTAATAGTTGCTATAGAGAACTAGTACCCAACTTTCACCCCAGATGCCACTTGTTCCTGCAGTTTTCTAACAATAAACTTTATTTTCTAATTTCCTAATAACCCTTCCTACTGTGCTAGATGGCAAAATAAATATGATCCAGTGTAGTAGTCACTTGCTGAAAGAAATTAGCCTCTGGGTCTTGTCAGGAACATGGATTACTAATAAAAAGTTACCAGAACAAAGTCAAGAATTTAATTTTTAAAAATGCTTTGATTGAGAATGTATTGCAGGGATGTTAAGAGAGTCAAAAAATTTTTGACAACTGATTGTTTTTTTTTCAAAAATATTTATTTTGTTAACATGGGACTTTTTCCTTCCACCTTTACATTATTTGTAACACTTATTTTTATTATTTGTGAGAGGTTTCTGCTTTAAGTTTGAAAACTTCCAGTCTCGATCAATTTATCTTAAGAACAGTAGACATTGTCTAATAAACCCTTAAGAGGAAATCTGATTTTATCACTCTATGAGAGGCAAGTTGATTTAGGTAATTTAGTATAAGAACATATTGTGTAGTATTTTTACCTACAGTATATGAATAAAGAGTTTTAGCAAAAATGCAAGGGGAAATAAATGAAGTAACATTTACGTTAATGGTGCACACACAGACATCTTAAAGTAGGAATCTCCATCTTCATACACAAGCGATTTTTTTTCTCTTTTCTAGAAGTTTGGAACTTTTAAAGCTGTAATTAAAGTTTGACATTTCATCACCTACAGCTTTTTGTTTACGTTACAACTCATTACAGAGGAAGATACAAGCATTTACACTTTCTGTTTTTTTCATACTGTTTCATTCTATTTCATCAGTTCTACAGGGACCTTTAGCTAACCTACAGTGGGTTTGTGCATGCTGAACTTTAGCCATACAGTCAGGCAAATATGGGAGTATTTGCAATCACAGTATTATATTTTCACAGCTCGTCTGTTTCCCCATCAAAGGGCACGGCATCTGTCTCCATGTGGATGCTGCTGGGCTCGTTGCTGGTCACCCAGCCGATAGGGGTACGATTGAAAGAGGGACGGCAGCCGATGTCATGTTGGTACACCACTGCGGGTTCAGGTTCCTCTTTGGTCACCTCAGTTTCTGGCAACTGGAATTTCATGAACTGGTTGGCCTTTTCAAAGCCACCGTACGGTGTGGCCATCCTAGGAAGAGAAGGTGAAATAAGAGGCAGATTAAGTCAGATGGTTTGTTTTCACAGGGCACCAAAAAACATTAGAACAGAGAGGGAGCCACCTGTTGAAGCTTTTGTATTTTGGCAAAGCTTTCCTGTCCACAGGACCAGGCATTTCAGCTTTAAGAGTTGCCAGCAGGTTCTCATCACCCTTCATGGCTTTCTCCCATGGGGACACATACGTCTTTACGACCACCAGGGTCTTACCTTTACCATCTTTTCTAGCTCCTGCATGAAAAACATCCACATATTTATCACATACCTATAATTTTTAGAAGCAGTACCATTTATTTCATGTAGAGCAAAGCAAGCTACCAATAATTACATACAGTATCTTGCAAAAGTACTCATATGACTTAAACTTGTTTACCTTTTGGCATTTTACAAAAGCAACCTTGAATTTAGCGTTTTAAATTTAAAGATTAAAAAAACACATTTTGCTTGATTGAGGATTTGCGATAACCAAAAATATGTGCTGTTCATTTGCATTCAGCCCTGGTACCCTTAACATAAAGGCTGTGAAACCACTTGTCTTCAGAAGTCATTTGATTAATAAACAGAATCCACCTGTGTGTAATTTCATCTAAGGTCACAATTAGCTGTTCTATGAAGGTTTAATAGGTTACTTTACATGAACAACTAGTATCAAGATGTCCAGATAGGTTTGGACACCTCCCTGGTTCTTTAATCGTCTGGCAATCCTCCTTGGAACTGGTCATTCACTAAAACTGACAAGCTAGGGGAGCAATGCAAGCTGCAAAGATCCACTAATTAAGTGGGATAATTTGTTGAAACAAAACAATTCTGACCTTTAATAGCTATAGGAAAGCAAAGTCCTGTTGCCAGTTTGCCACAGGCATTTTGAAAAAGGGATTTTTAAGCCTCAACTCCAGAGCACGGTTGTCCCACTACAATGCACCCCCTTTACACTGACATCTTTTGGAATTAGTAAACAGGGGGCTAAATGCATCAGGTCACAGGTGACTGTTGCCTATCTTTAGCACTCTATTGGGAAGGTTAAATACAAATGCATGCAGCAGTTAGGGCCGACTGTCATTAATGGAAATTTGAAGTTGTAAAATGACACTAACTTAAAGAATTCAAGTGGTATGAATAGATTAACTGAGTTGTATGTTTTTAAACACATGTAAAGGTTAGGGTTCATGTGGCAACGATTGTTTTTTCCTGTTTTTTGGTAGCAAGGCAGAATACTCACCCGTTCCGTCTCCTTTACCACCTCTTTCATCCCCAGCCAGTCCTAGTCCTCCTGCACCTCCAGCGCCGTCTGCTCCTCCTGCTCCTCCTGCTCCTCCTGCTCCTGCCCCCTTGCTTCCAGGCTTAGGTGGAGGCACTGGCGCCCCTCCTCCTGCAGGTGTAGCTCCTAAATACATATGTTTTGTCTCTTTGCTTACATAATGCCCTCCAAGATTTATAAACTGGCCTCCTATCTGCCCTCCCAAGGATGGAACAAACTTCTGGAAGTTGTCCTGTAATATGAAGATAAGACAGTTATAAACAATATAAAGAATAGGATTGAATTGGTGATGCAGCTCTTAGCAAGTCATGAAAACCCCTTTAAATTGCAAATATGAGGATTTTCAACTCCTTAACTCTTTAGAGAACATGAACAAGCTATAGGTCTATCTTAGACCTCCCATTTATCAGTGAGATTATCAAAAAAGTTGCATATCATCAGTTAAACACCTTTCGGCAATGATTATCTGTTTGACCATCTTCCAGCCATTTTTCCACTGTCACCACAGTACAGAGACTGCCCTTGTCAAGGTGTTCAATGATACTGGCATAAATGCACACTGTGGAAGAGCCACATTGCTTGTATTATTGGACCTTGGTGCAGAATTTGACACCGTTGATCAGTGTAGTTTACCAGAGGGCATGCAAAACACCTTCCTGGTACAGCACTGGCTAGTTTCAAATCTACATGAGGGGATAGAAACTTTTCAAAGTCTCACATGGAGTTCCCAAGGGTCCATCTTAGGGCCTTTCCTTTTTAATATCTACATGCCCTCCATAACACAGATTACAATCAACAACATAGGTTACCATAACTACATGACCAAAAATGGTTCAACAACATCTATAGATTAAGATATGCACAGAAGAAATCCATGTATGCGTGTGCCTAAATTTCCTTCATCTATATGCCTTGTTTCACAAAACTGAAGTAATATAAATGTACCAAACAAGAAGCAATGAAAATTACCACACAGCTTCAATTAATACGGCTAAAAACCATCAGGCTCGAAATCCAAGTGATGGACCTGAGCCTTCAGAGTCTCATATGGACATTAGCAAAGTTGGCCTTCTATCACCTGGCGAACATCTCCGAACATCAGGATTTAAGAGTAATGTCTTAGATTTAGACGTGGACTTAGACACTTAGAATTAAACGCTATTTTCATTTTGTACACACAGGGTGTAAACAGAACGAAAATTTGTTCAGTGGAGCTCTCAGGGCATTTCCATTTCTTATAGTGCAGCCATGATAAAATATAAACATGGTGATCCAATGTAAAAATAAGACTGAGATATCATTTACAGTTTTTCCAACAATTAGTGCTTTTTTTCTTTTTGTTTTTCTCAACATTCAGCAGTCTATTGGCAGTGGGGAAGAAGCTGTTTTGGAATCTGCTGGACCTGCATCTGATGCTTCTAAGCCTCTTCCCAGGGGGGGGGGGGGGGGGGGGGGGGGGGGGGGGCAGGGAGAACAGTCCATAGTGGGAGTGTGAGGGGTCACTGATAATGTAACAGGCTTGGGAGACTCAGCGCTGGGATGAAATGTCTTTTATGGAGGGAAGAGGAGCCCCGATGATCTTCTCTGCTGTTCTCACCAATCTCCTCACTTTCTTCCAGTCTGAGGAGCTGCAGCTGGTCAGAACGCTCTCTATGGTGCTTCTGTAGAAGGTGTTGAGGATGGCTGGGGGCAGGTGGTCTCTCCTTATCACTAGTGAGGTGGTGTTTACAGTCCAGGTGAGGTTGTGATGTGCACCCCCAGGAATCTGGTGTTGTTTACCACCTCTACAACTGAGCTATTGATGAGCAGTGCAGCGTGGTTAGGCTGGTTCTTCCTGAAGTCAATGATGATCTCGTTCGTCTTCTCCACGTTTAGGATCAGGTTGCTATTTTTGCATCAGTCCACCAGCTGCTCCACCTCCTCTCTGTAGTCCTGGTCATGAAGTTTGATAAGCAGTCATGTGCCATCAGGTGAACAAGTCAGGTGAACAGCAGGGGGCTCAGGACGCAGACCTGCTTAGACTGATGAAATCAGAGGTTTTCTGTCCAACCCAGACTGACTGAGGTCTGTTTATGAGGAAGTCTAGCAGGCAGTTGCAGAGGGGTGTATTGAATCCCAGCTGTTCCAGTTTCCCTATCAGATGCAGGATGGTGTTGAAAGCTGAACTGAAGTCCAGGAACAGCTTCTACATGTGGGTGTTCTTCTCCTCGTGGTGTGCCAGGCTCAGATCCTACTGTCTCATTAGTATCTTAAAAAATTAATTTATCTTTAGTAGAATTATCAACTTAATTACTCATGTTTACCAATTTTTTAATCACCTTTAAGGTCCTAGAATGTACTTTTCTCTGTGAGTTTTGCTATTAACCGTCTATTCCATGTATAGCGCTTTGAACGTACCTCGTTAAAATATCTCGATGATGAAATGTACATACCGTAAATTCTCTAATATTGGCCTGTATTCCAATAGCGGCCGGGACTCTCGCTGTCAGAGGAGGTAAATAATGGCCGGTCTCTAATACAGGCCGGGGCTATAAACGTTTTTTCTGGGCATACCTCAACATTATACTTGTGGTAGTAACATACAAGTACCACAGCCCTGCGCAGCTGGACGACAGGCCCTGACTGCTGCCCGTCTGCGCGAGGAAGAGAACAGAGACGCAGCAGAACAGGAGGAGCGCGAGTGATGAGGAGATTAAAGGGAGAGATGAGGAGGAGGAGAAAAACTGAGGAGGAGAATTAAACAGAATTGGAGGATTTTTTTTTTTTTTTTTTTACTTCAAACCAAGCGAGACATGGTAACTGTACTTTTTCAATAAATGAACCTAGTGTTTTATAGGTTCAAATAGACACAAAATCTCATTTTTATTCATTCCACTGGTAGTCTGTTTTGCTCAAATAGCAATAGAGGCCTGTCTCTAATTCTGGCCTCTATCCAATAAAGGCCTGGACCGCGATGCACTTGAGTGAAATAAAGGCCCGGGCCTATATTAGAGAATTTACGGTATACTACTATATTTTTTTTAGGGCCTGAGCATTTCCAACTTTTTTTTTTTTTTTTTTTTTTTTTTTTTTCCAAATTTGATATATTGCAAACTGCCTCAGTAACATATTGAAATTAACAGAAAACTAAATGGAAATTTTCTCACCATTGAGTCACTGGTGAAAACATCTGGGTTGTTCTCGTGGATAAACTTCTCAACTCTCTTCTGCCTCATCCGGAACATCTTGGAGCCTCGGTTATTCATCAGAGAGAGCTCCTCCAGCATGATCTCTTTGGGGGTCCTGATCTTAGTTCCCAGATCGAACTCTGATGCTTCTGGCTCCAACTCAAACTCTAGATGACAGCATGGTTAGAAATAGTTTCAGATACTCAATGGCAAACTTTAGTTAGTATTACTGGTTAAAGCTCTTATCTAGAAAAGACAACATATCAAAGAAGTATTTTGTATTATCTACCAAATGAAAAGATGCAACTGATAGATCGATCAATTGATCGATCAGTCAATAAAATCTCAATAAGTCAAGGACTGTAACAAGAACAAAACCAAACCAAAGAGTGAATAGAAATCAACTATACAGAAGCATAATATATCTGGTTTTAATATAACGAAAACATTTCTTTATTTATTTAATTTTACTGTTCCTACATTCTCTCAAATTCACTATATTTTTAATAACTTATTAGAAGATCTTGTCATCATTGTTCCTGTGCAGTCTGGGAGAGCATGGGAAAAGAAAATAAGACTATGGAGAAAGTGTGTTCTTCAAGACTTAATACACCTATACATTATAATTCCCTTTTTCCTTTCCTGCTTGTGTCCTTGACTTTTTTTCTGGCATTGTTTCTTATTCCTTATATAATTGGTTCCTTTTTCTTCCCTTTCTTTTCATAATCTGCTCTAATTGTGTTCCTCCTTTTGCTCCAACTGGGTCATTCTCTTCTTTCTTTGCTTTTCCTGTTCCTTTTGCAATTATTTGTTTATTGTCTTCATGTTGTCCTCCTACCGGTACTTGGCTCTGCTAATATTACTACAACGTGTCCCTCTTCTTGTCTTGTTGCTATCCTTGCTCCACTTATTCAGCCCTTCTTTTCTGCTGTCCTTGTTTGTTATTTTCTTGATCCTGCTTTACTGACTAAAGCTGAGCATTAAGCCATTCTAACCTTTTTTGAGTCCAACTCCCTGTCTTACTTTTGTCCTGCTTCCCTTTCTTCCCTTCTTTAGCTTTATGTTTTTCACTAGTTCTATATGCAAAGACATTTAATATAGATAAATCAGGCAACTATCTCTTGTGCAAGTTTTTGTTCCCATTTTTCCTTTAATATTTTCCCACAAAATATTAGTGCTTGTTTCCTCTGGTCAGTGCATCATCTGCAGTGACCAACCCTTTAACCTATCTATTTCTGTGAACAGCAGTTGTATGAAAGAGTTTTACTGAGTAGGGGTAATTTCATATTCACATCATTTTACGTCAGCCTTACCATCCTGACTGATATGCGATAGGTCAGTTATGATCTTGGAGGGCTTTTTCCGCTTGTTTAGGGGGGCAGGTGTTCCCAGAGGCATAGCTGGAGGGAGAGGGAGAAACCATAGAACGTTATTCCCGGGTATAGAAATGCAGAACTGCATTCCTGCATTTGAAGTTTACAGGGTAAGTGCTCTAAGTTAGTAGTTAGAACTATTTGTGGTAAGGTGGAAATGTTTTAAAAAAGCTGAAGGTTTCGGAATATTTGATATAAAACAAATTCAGGAAAGAAATAAAAGATTGATTCGTCTTATTGGTTTAAATATGAGGCCTAAATTGTTCAAATTAGATGAGAAAAAGAATGAAGGTTTTTTTAATTTACCAATGTTCTCCACCAGTTTCTGAGAATTACTTAAAATCATCAACACCAAGACCTATCGACGACTCGGGAAAGTTCACAGAAGCTGAATGTAAGAGACTTGCAGACAACAAACATCCTACTAATTTTTCATCCTCACGGGAAGTGTCATGCCTCCAGATTCCTTACATTCTCCCGTGGAACACATGTCCTCCCCAAAGGAAACATATAGTTAAATGTGTGCTTCAGTTTTTGTTTAGTGACACAAGATCTGTTTTAAGATCTGTCAGAGTAAACTAAGGTATACTGAGGCTTACCAAAAAATGTCTTATCAGTTAACCCTACAGCTACAATGTTGGGATTGTTATATAACATAAAATAAGGCATATCATAAAATACTATTGCTCAGTATGGTGTTTGTAAGTGGTTTAAGAAGATTAAATATTGTCTTCATCTAATATGTCAAAATCTGTCTCACCCACAAAAACTATTTTAAAGCGAAATCAAACAACCTCAGCCTCCCTCCTTTTCTTTTGTATTTTACATCATTATTGCACTTAATGCTTTATTCCACGTCAAGATTATATTACTAATATCTGCAAACTCATCTGCAAACAACATTTTCTTTAAACTACAGTTAAGTGGCAAAACATAACATCACATCTACTGACTGTAACTGAACCCAGTGCAGCTATTTTTAAAAGCCATTTCTAGCCAAGACATTTTAGCTACAAGCCATGGCGTCATACAGCTACCACAGAGACTTGAAGCAAACTCCTAAGAACTCAGAGCACATCTTGAGAAAATCTGCTGTAGGCGACAGATTGTATACCAACAGGGAGAAGCTAAATGCATGTTGATAAGTATTTTTAGGTTAGGTTAGATGCAGTTTTGTAACTTGAAGGTACATTTAATTTGGAGATTTACTACTCACCTCAAATGCTCTGATAACACAATATTCAACTTCTGTAAAAGTCAACATATTACAGTAGGCTCTTTCTTTAGTTTTTAATGGACTCATAAACAAATCTATTTTCCACCACTGTAGCTTGTGTTTGGGAAAAATCCAAAGCTGAAATATAACAGTTTCAGGCAAGAAATCTACAGAGAGAAAAAAGAACAACAACTTTGTATCCACTCACCGGGATTCTTTTGTAATCCTGTGAAGAGAGAAAGACCTATAAACACTAAACAGTAAGAGAGATATCAATCTCAAACACAAAAGTACAAATCCCTCAGTGCCTCTGACACCATGTATGATTAGACTCAGGTCCCGCAATGTACAAAGCTGATCCAAAAGTCAGATAGCAGATCTTGCCATGGGTTTGGGGGCAGGGGGGGTTAGAAATTAGTGTCAAGATGGGAGGAGGAGGAAGAAGCTGAGATTAGGAGTGTGAATATAGAATGGAAGGGGGACATTAAGCTGGGTGGAGAAGTCTCTCTTGGCCAGCTGAAATTGCTGATGGTGATATTAAAGGAACAAAATCATTCTTGCAGATGTCTCTGCAGCCTAAATTTAGCTGCAAAGAACGAGCGGAACAAACTTAGCCTTAAGACAAACCTTGGGGGACTCGGATGTGTTTAGAGGTACGAAGAAAGACATGGGGGACATAGGGATAGTGTATAAGTGCAGAGATAAGTCAAAGGTTAGGAATATATGAGTACTCTTTATATGGAGGCCAAATCTGTTTGAGTTTCAAACAGATGGCCATGGCATTAACAGCCCTTGATTTTTTTTTTATAATACTAATGTCTCATATCATGGGCTTATATTTTTCAATCATATCTAACAACCATACACAGAACCCAAAGAATGTATCCTGAAAAGCTGCAAAAGCAGTAGAAGTAGCTTTCATTTTTTATTCAGATGTTTCTACATACTGCTATTCAGGGGTCCAGTTGTAGCAAGAAGGTCTTGGGTTTAAAATCCTAGTAAAAAAATCCTAATATGAGTGCATAAAATCATGATTCTGGTCTCTTTAGGTTAGAACCCACTTCTGGCCCAATGACAGCGAGGGATGATACCAGCAACGGTGCAAATACAAGTGATAATTATTTAGCAACAAAGGGTGGCTAACTGTCTTGTTGGTTTCCAGTTTCTTAGCCCACATGCAGAACAACATGAGAACAGGGAATCAGATAAATCAAATTTATTTTAACAGTTGAAAAAGTTCAGTAAATGGTATGGGCCCTTGGAAGGAGGGCTCATAGAGTCGCCTGCACACTGCAGAGCAGAAAAATGGAGAAGATGTGTTTATGGTTGTCAGAAATAGGATCTTTGAGAGAAGTTTTAAAAAGATAATGGTCCTTTTCAACGTCCTTTTTATTCCAACCTGAGGCAGCTGCTTCTGTTCTCAAAAAACAGTGTGGGAGAATATACATTGGCAGTACATTGGCAGCCTTTGTATTGGCATATACAAAGGCATTGATATGGAAGTTCAATGCATTAAAATATGTATATCAATTATATGCTGAATTTTTGATTGGTGTTATCAGTGTGATGTGAAGTCAGTCACATGATGAAGAGTTTTCACAACATTTCAGCTGTCTAATGGCAGTGGGGAAGAAACTGTTTTACGAATCTGCTGGACCTGCATTGCATGCTTCGAAGCCTCTTCCCAGAACTGAAGTCCAGGAACAGCATCCACACGTGGGTCCTCTTCTCCTCCAGGTGTGCAATGCTCTGGTGAACAGCAGAGGAGATGGCATCCTCAGTGGAGCGGTTTTGTTGGTGGGCATAATGGAAGGGGTCGAATGTTGGGGAGGACTGGAGACAATGTGTTCTGTAACCATCCTTTCAAATTACTTCATCATGATAGCTGTAAGTTCGACAGGCCAGTAATCATTGAATGAGGTGACCTGAGGCTTTTTGAGACCGGAATGATGGTGGCAGACAGTTGACGGTGGGAATGATGGTGGCAGACAGTTGACGGTGAGAAGATCAATGAGACCGAATGTAGCCTTCCTCTTACTATTTATAGACAGACGCCGAGGTGAACTTTGTGTCACAAGCGTGACTTTGTTTACGTTTAACCTCAACCTGCACGGAGCATAAGGAGACATATTCACTTTGTTTACTGCCACTAGCAGTCAAGATCCCATGATCTTGGCACTGATGTCTGGTCTAATTACTTATTTGACACTCTTTTTTAGCTCTGCCCAGTTCTCATTACTTGTTTATATTATCCACCTGTTCTGTTCTCTTATTTAAGCCCTTGGTGAGAAGTTTTCTAGCCTACCTGTATTCCAGTTACCTGATCCTGACCTGTTCTGTCTCTCAAACTTTGAGTCTGCCTCTCCCCATCTCATCTGTTTGCCTAACCTGTCTTCTGACTCCAGTGGGATCTCTGCTGGATTTCTGGTGGATTTCTGGGCTTGGTGCACTATACAAAACAAACGCATTCTACTGGCTGTTTAATTTCAATATTTTAAATTTACAATTTGCAGCCACCAGGGGTTCAAAGACTAGGGCTAAGGGAAGTGAGAGTAGAAAACCCTGTTCCTACAAAATCATCCTACAAAGATCCTACAAAATCATCTGTTTTCAATATAGTCTTTGGTAAAAATATATTTTCTAAACCTTGTATGATTTTCCATTTCACTAAAGACCTACGCACTATGTTGCATTGTTGTATTATATAACATACTCATAAAATAAAATAAGGTTTGTTCATGTAAAGATAAAATAAAATTTAACTGGCAATACATTTAAAAGGCAGCGTACACCATTAAAACCTACAGAGCTCAATATAACTCTGTTTCAGATAACATTTGGTCCCACTCCAAATCAATGTAAAATTTACTCTATAGGCAGTGTCAACTTTTCAGAGTTAATTTTAATAATTTTTATATCAAATTCGACTGATGGGTAACCGACACCATATAAAGTAACAGTTAACCTGCATGGCTGCCAATTTTTTCCCTGAACATTAACTTCAACACTTTTAACTTTCAACAGATTTACAATCACTATGGGGGTAAATACTTTATTTTGAGTAAAACAGGTTGACTATACATTTTGGATATTTTTTACTGTGTAGAAAAGAAGTTAATAATATGGTAAAATTCAAGGCATCTGTAGGGTATAATTATTTATATATATATATGATATATAACTATTTCAGTACAGCCCCAAAAAAACGAAACTGAATCAGTCATAGATTTTTTTTTCTTTTATTTTTTACATTAACAGTTAATTTAAGGTTGGCCTGAGTTTTTTATATATAGAATTGCACCTGTGCATAAATAGTATTTAGTTTGGATTTTAACAACTCTATTAATAGGCACCATGTGAGTGTGAATTCCACCAAAATGCCTTTCTGACCGCATGTTCAGCAACCAAGAGTGCATCTCACCAGAACACCACAACACCACCCAGTGGTTAAAGTTCATATTGGCAATTAAAGAAATCGAAGGGGGTTATCCTAATGTTTTCTGGATGAAAAAAGTGATTAATCACTCAAAACCTTTTTATAATATATCCAAGTCATTCAACTAAAAACAATACAAATGGCTATAATACATTTGAATAATTGTACAAACTCAACAGAGACACTTCATGATTATATATTTTCTTGAGTTTATCAGCATCTCACACCATTTCTAGACAACATTTCCCCACTATCTCTTGCAAAAGTTCTCCAAATCTTTCCAGCACCGAAGACCTCTCCGTAACATTCTTTAGATTAACCCTAAGGTTTTTTGTTTTTTTTAAATCAGATTTACTTGTAAACTGTCTGTAATTAACAATGAGATCTCTGATGCACAATGGAATTTGTTTACTCAGGGCTTTATACACGAGGAGAAGGATTTAAAAAATCTATTCCGGATTTAACAGGTAGATACGGTAATAAAGGCAAATCAAAATAGAAGAAAGGCAAGCTCATTTTAATTTTTACTAGACCTCTGGCTGCAGCATTTTGGATGAACCAAAGATGTTCATCTACATTTTATGGACTTCCTGATTGCAAAGAATTACAATCAGAAGAAGAAATGCATGTATTAGTTTCTCAGCACCAGCCCTGAACAAGATGTTTTTAATTTTGGCTATATTCCAGGGATGAATTAAATAAATTCTAGAAATCTGTTTAATATGGGATTTAAATGACAAGTCCTGATCAAATTATTAGATGTATTTAATTTAAAGCTATCCAGATAGAGAGTTAATAATCAGCTTCTTTTTTAAAGACTCTCACTAGACAATAGTTTTGGTATGTGTAGCGCCATGTTTAACTTTGCATTAGCTGAATGTAATTTTTTTGTGGGGAAAAATAAAATACACTTGACATTTTACAAGATATATTGTTTTCATGTGTTCTTGGTTTTGGAATAAATAAATAAATAATCCAACACACTGTTTGCAGCAGGTTTAACAATGAAACAAAAATGAAGAGAAAAAGAGAAAAAACCTGATTTGTGGTTTCCATTCATCATAGTGTTTTACACTGAGTTCATTTAAATATCTAAATGAACCCCTCAATTCTCCTTCTAAATCAAACTTTATGTTTAAAACAATCTAAATATTCCTCACAGAGCATTCGAAAGACAAACACAAACCACTATATAAATATTTATAAGAACTCTATGAACACCGAGAAGCTCAGTGTTAAACATTACGATGAATGGAAACCATGTCATGACTTTGACCCTTTTCACTTTAGCGTTTAACTTGCTGGCAGTACATAGGTGTTTTGTACATTATTTTATTTTATTTTTTCATACTTGCATACTCAGAGCACACAATAAACAGTATATCTTGTATACTGTACAGAATTTTTTTTTCTCTCCACAAAAATACATCCAATCAAGACAATGTTCAACAAGGTGCTACACATACAAATAAATAACTAATAAAGAAATACATTTATGGTAACAGCAAAAAACACCCTCGCAGATAGCAATAGACTATGTTTTATCCTTCCATGTATTTCATGTAGGCTATGTATTTAATGTCATTGTAACTTCATATAATAAAATCATCTGTCTTAAATAATAATTGTATTGGCTGCAGCCTACCAATAACCCTAAGCAGGTGAGGTCATCGTTATGCATAAAACATAAAATAACTTAGATTTGTTTTTTGTTTTTTTAACTCCTGAAACCGAATTAGACACTTACAGAAAGGATCATGATAAACCATCCAATTTCTTTCTCCTACCTAAGTGGGGCTGTTGCTTTTCTCTAGCAGTCCATGGGTGAAAGACAGGCTTACAGCCCAGACAGGTCACCAGCTTATTGATGGGCAGAGAAATGCAGCCATCCATACATACACCTACTTTCAATTTAGAGACGTCAATTAACCTAAGAGTCAGGTTTATAAAGTGTGGAATACAGCTGAATAACTCGAAAATCTTGCACTGGTAATGTTTGAAGTCGATAAAGAGAACTGCACTCCTCAGCCCATCTCTCCCATTCTGCCATTAAAATATTAATGCAACTCTAATGTTCAAACTCTTATGACATGTTGCAAAAACTGCACAGGCATTTGTATTAAAGCCAGATTCTATTACCATTAAGGATAGTTGTTCTTCCATAATACTTCCAGCAGAGGGTAGCATGGATGTGCAGCAGTTATCCCCTTCCAGCGGTGGACTTAGCCATTTGGGGCCGCAGGCAAGCTTAAGTCAGGGGGCCCTCCTCCAAGTCAGCCTTAATATCGAAGTCGGCCCTGAGTGTGACAGATTGTGTGAAGCCACCACAGTGTTCATACTGCAATACTGTGAATTAATGAGTAGCTCAACTGTAGCTTTTCCTGTAGTCCCTCTCCTGGCCTCCACAGCTGAGCAATCAGATGTTGATCTTACAGCACTCATAATAAATATACATGGAGTGAGCTGTCTTTCAATTGACATGCTCTGCAGAGCTTAATACAAAACGGGCGATGTGTCTTAATCCGTGATACTGCTGCACTGTATAGGAGGCTTGACTTTTAGCTCCTTTAAGGAGGGGATGAAGAAGGTGAAATGTCCCTCTATAAAGTATTTATTATAAGAAAAATGATAGAGAAAAAATATTCACATTTTGTTTCAGCAATAAATAATTTGCTGTTATTTGATTTTAATCAAACAAGGAAGTTGTCCAGATATAATTTTACATTTTTTCTTAAATTTATTAAAAGTAGCTAAAAAAATGAAAAAAAAAAATTCACAATAAATCATACAGCTTCTAAAATTTCAGTTATTAAGGACTATATACACTCACCGGCCACTTTATTAGGTACACCTGTCCAACTGCTCGTTAACACTTAATTTCTAAGCAGCCAATCCCATGGCGGCAACTCAGTGCATTTAGGCATGTAGACATGGTCAAGACAATCTCCTGCAGTTCAAACCGAGCATCAGTATGGGGAAGAAAGGTGATTTGAGTGACTTTGATCGTGGCATGATTGTTGGTGCCAGAAGGGCTGGTCTGAGTATTTCAGAAACTGCTGATCTACTGGGATTTTCACGCACAACCATCTCTAGGGTTTACAGAGAATGGTCCGAAAAAGAAAAAACATCCAGTGAGCGGCAGTTCTGTGGGCGGAAATGCCTTGTTGATGCCAGAGGTCAGAGGAGAATGGCCAGACTGGTTCGAGCTGATAGAAGGGCAACAGTGACTCAAATAACCACCCGTTACAACCAAGGTGGGCAGAAGAGCATCTCTGAACGCACAGTACGTCGAACTTTGAGGCAGATGGGCTACAGCAGCAGAAGACCACACCGGGTGCCACTCCTTTCAGCTAAGAACAGGAAATTGAGGCTACAATTTGCACAAGCTCATCGAAATTGGACAATAGAAGATTGGAAAAACGTTGCCTGGTCTGATGAGTCTCGATTTCTGCTGCAACATTCGGATGGTAGGGTCAGAATTTGGCATCTACAACATGAAAGCATGGATCCATCCTGCCTTGTATCAACGGTTCAGGCTGGTGGTGGTGGTGTCATGGCGCAGGGAATATTTTCTTGGCACTTTTTGGGCCCCTTGGTACCAATTGAGCATCGTTGCAACGCCACAGCCCACCTGAGTATTGTTGCTGACCATGTCCATCCCTTTATGACCACAATGTACCCAACTTCTGATGGCTACTTTCAGCAGGATAATGCGCCATGTCATAAAGCTGGAATCATCTCAGACTGGTTTCTTGAACATGACAATGAGTTCACTGTACTCAAATGGCCTCCACAGTCACCAGATCTCAATCCAATAGAGCATCTTTGGAATGTGGTGGAACGGGAGATTCGCATCATGGATGTGCAGCCAACAAATCTGCGGCAACTGTGTGATGCCATCATGTCAATATGGACCAAACTCCCTGAGGAATGCTTCCAGCACCTTGTTGAATCTATGCCACAAAGAATTGAGGCAGTTCTGAAGGCAAAAGGGGGTCCAACCCGTTACTAGCATGGGGTACCTAATAAAGTGGCCGGTGAGTGTACATTAAATAGTATTCATGTTTTACTTTAGGTAAAGTATCTTTGTTTAATTGGTTTAGATTTTAATTTTACATATTACACATATTCAAAAAAATAAAACAATAAACAAATAAAGGAACTGATTTATTGACTGATTGATTGATTAATTAATTACTAATAAGCTTCTTATTACTTTTTGATACTGCACCTTAAACAACCCAGGACTGAATGTTGAGAATCAGTACAGAAAAAAAGGGACCAGCAGGTTTGTTCTATTTTCCCAATTTATTCAGAACACTTGTTTTGTCTGCATGTAGAAATGGACTTACTGCTGCCATATAATTATTTAAAGAGCCTTTAATGTGTTTAATGTTAAGAGTAAATGGTTTGATTTTGACTGAACCAAAGGACAGATATTTTTTATACCTTGATGCAAATCCAGCTAGAAGCTCCCAAAGAGGGTTTCTACTGTTTACCATCACAACCAGAGATTTTAGCTTAGATAAAGTTAATCTACTCTCTGTTCCTCATGATGTCTTTGGTGATACTTATTAAAGAAAACTTCCACCTCACATCATGCCAGGTTAATAGATCCCTGGCTATAACTCACATTTTGTCTTGTTTGAGTCTGTATTAAAGTTTAATCAGCATCTTTTGAGTGGGTTGATCCATTTTTCTCTGTTCCAACGAAAGGGATCCAACTCTGCGCTGGCCATGCAGCTTCTCCAAAATCAGTCATGTTCCTCTGCTGCAGTGTTATTTTGTTATATTTGTTTTTATTTCTGGTGCAATGGAAAAGGCAGGCCAGCATCCCTTAACTGAACAGCTGTTCTGCCCTTAAGGATCAGAAAAACTAGTTGTGCAATCCTGTTTTGTTTTTATTCCCATCAATTTTCAGTTCATAGTGGAGCAGGTAGTCATATGAAATTCAGTAAAACGAATTAGTTTTTGATAAAACATATTTCACTCTGATGTCATATTGGGACCTAATGTTTCTTTTTGAACAGACATATGTGAGTCTTTTTTCTTGAGCTCTAGGTTGGTGTTTAAGGCAACATTGGTATTATAACAACATTTTTGTCCTTTCTTCATTTTTCACCTGTCATAGCTCTGCTTTATCTGTCTCTTTTTATCTCTTCAACTGCTCCACACTGCATCTCAGGATATTTTATGTGATGGGAAGGATGGGTCTATTCTTGTACATGGAAAGGGGAGCATAGAAGTTGATTTCGTTTTGATTCACAATTTTTTTGTCACTGTTTTCATACTAAATTATAATTATTTCATTTTAAACATATCATGTTATTGATGCTTGGCATCAATATCCCAAGGCTGTTGTTAGAGGTGTCTGCAACCAATACCCTGGGCATCTTGCTAGTTTGGGGCCCAGGCGTTTCGTAAGTCCCTGTCCCTCTCTACTCCCTTTCAGTGAGACTATTCTGATTTTGGTTTGTAGAATTTAATTAGCCTTTAGACTCATTTGTGGGTTTTTGATTAACCCCACAGACTTCCTTTAAACCCAAAGGTCCATAGACCTGCGTCATAACCTATTTTAAATTGACTGTGTAGATTTGCATGTCCCCATTCTGGGATTTAATATGGTTTGTGCTGTAAACACTGACACATTAAGCTTTCTCCCAGAACCTCTTAATATAGACAGTAACCTAATGCTCTTTTCGGTAGAGAAAGGGTACGCTTCATGAAATTTTTATGAAGATGTTGCATGTTTTTAGGTAAAAGAAAAATCTGAATATTTCCTTAAATTTCCTTTTAGGTTACACATACACATTTTCTTTAGGCTTTTTACATTCCATCCAGAACGGGGCTGAAAAAAATTATTTTCAAAATGATTCTGTCATTTTTGTAAATGGGAATCTTTTAATAGACATTTTTATTTTTTCATAGGTTTTGTTCATGAATGTCTGTACCTTTTTTTCTTCAATAACAGGATTAGTTCAGTTTTGTTTTGTCCTTGTTTACTTATTCTGTGTTTTCTTAATGCTTAAGCTGTAAACTTTGATACAATCCAGTAACTACTTATGAAGGGACCCAATAATTTTCATAGAAAATATACGTTTGAATACTAAACAACAGAAGGCAGAGTGAAATCAAACATTTCAGGAAACCAAAGGGCTTTCAAATCTAATTTTATTTCTCCAAAATATATGCCTTTTTCTACTCAGTATAAACTTCCACTCAGCAATGATAACAAACAGTTTCACACTTGGCATTTATTTTAACTGTCTAGATGATAATATTTTTTACACCTCAACATGACTGTATGCACGATTTGAGCTTCTTCGGCAACTGTGTTATGAATGCAAGCCTTCATTAAAACTTGTATTTAAACAAATGTAAAAAAATAAATAAACAATACAAGAATTCTATTTATTCCATACTTCTTTCCATTGTAACACCTGTTCCACAGTACTTTACCATCACATTTCAGCTTTTTATCACAACTGTTGTTGAAGAAAATATTGATAAAGCTTAATTCTTCTTTCCATCAGCATCTTGAGCATCACCACAAATGTATCTGTTCATACTTCCCTAGGCGTTCTGCATACATCTACAGCCTGTGAGGTTTTAAAATGCATGTAATGGATCAGAAGCTTTAATTTGATCAAATTTGACCATAACCATTTCAAGGAAATGGACAATGATCTACCTGAGACTCCATTACATGTATTATCCTCTCATCACAACCGCTCTCACCTCTTGATTCCTTTTATAAAAAAAGAAGTGCATCAACTTCCAACCAATTCCTTTAGAATAAAAAAATGCATCATTTAAGTGTGGTATTGGTTTAATATATTTCAACAATTAACATTTATCTGAAAGCAATAACAATTAAAAAGGAGAGTTTAATGAGAATGAATGGCATCTAAGAAAGCCTAGTGACAAATATTGTCTAAATTGTTCTTGTTTACTGTGACCTGTGCAAAAGAGAAAGCCTTTCACCCAGGTTATGTTTAGGCACCTTTTTGCTCTATACGAGCAAAGTAGCCCTCAAAAGACCAAACATACATCATACAGAGGGTACCATTGGTACCACCAAATTTTTTCTTAACCTGATGGAAACTAAATTTTTTATTAGCTTGGTGTTTCTTTTTGGAAACATTATATATATAACTTAAAGACAAATATCCTCAAAATCCTTGTCCGTTTATTTTGCAAACTGAAACTGTCCTTTGATTGTTTGTAATGATCATTTTTACTCCCTTTAGACAAGAAAGCCATTATAACATTTGCAAATTATGGATTTCATGTTGAACATTAACTAACCCTATGGGTGTGCTGCTTTCTAAAATGCTCCTGGTCTCCAGACATGCGGCTGGGCACCACCCCTGTTGGCAACAAAGCGTGGTTTTGGAGCCTGAACCGGGTTGGTCTTCAGTGGGGGCAAAGAAGCAAGAATGCTGAGCTCAGGAGCACTCTGAAACTGCTTGGCTGTCTGCAGCCCACTGGTGTATGATGATGGAGTGTAAGGTGTGGGGACCGAAGGTACAGGGTTTGGAATAGGGGTACCAGCGAATTTCGGCAGGTCAGGTAGTCGCGAATGTTGGGAGGCAGACGAAACTGGTTTCAAAGTACTGACTGACTCTGGTGGGGATAAAGCTGGAGTAAAGGGGGCAGGAGGTGGAGAGATCATGCCTGAATGAGTCAAGCGTTCTCCAAGACTTGTAGCTGAGCGAGGTGCAATGACTTTAGGTGCAAGTGATGGAGCTGACATGGGCGTGGGTGTAGAGAAACGCTTGATTTCATAGACACGGGCGGTTTTGAGGGGTATTTGCCGAGGTGAGGTCAGTGAGCTACCCACCATTGTTGTTGTGTAGTTATTGTGCTGAGCCTGGTATGAAGGCATTGCTGATAGATTGGCGGCACTGCCTCCATACTGGAACATGGCAGAGTTAAGCTGATAAGGCTGCCTTTTCATGAAATCCACAGCCTTAATGCCTTCCTTTTGGGAGCCTCCTTTAGCCTTTTTGTCTGGGATCCCTGTGTCCTTCTGAGGCCCTGAGGGAAGAGAGGGAGCTAATAGTGGGTTATATCCAATTGGTGGAGGTGCACGGACATTTGGGGAATATTTCCACTGAGAGGGATATGAATTATTGACAGAGGAGTCAAACTGTTGGACTGCATTTTGCATTGCCACATCCTGCTGGTATGGGGTCGCAGGTGGACTGTCAACTACATACATGCCCATTCGGCTCTGTCTTTTGGCAAACAGCTGAGCTCCCTTCCCCTCTGCCTGAAGAATCTGTGGAGTCTCATGGATGACCCGAGGTTTAGGTGCAACTGGGGGTGGCACCCTTCCTGTACCAGCATCACCACTTCTTTCCTCCTCTGCAAGATCATACACTTCTTCATTGGTTGCTTGTCCATATTTGTGTCTGGTGAACCTTTCATCTAAGTTCTGCACCAATGACAACAGTTCAGGATTTGGGGAGTTCTTTTTCAGTTCTGGCACATTGAACATAGGTTTAGGTTTGCCACAACGCCGACGTGCTTCAAGTAGGATTCCTGTTCGACCTGTTGGAGCAGGAACAGGAGTTTGGGCAGAAGCTTCTGGCTGAGTTACTACTGACACCTGAGTCACAGGTGGCCTGGAAATGTGGGATTCTGGTGGCTGAGTAACAGGTGGTGTGGAAATGTGGGGTTCTGGTGGCTGAGTCATACGTGGCCTGGAAATTTGGGGGTCTGGTGGCTGAGCCATTAGGACTTGAAGTGGAGGCACGAAGGCAGCTGAATCTGTTGCACCAGACATTTGGGATAAATGAGGAACAGGCACTGAAACTCTTTGTGCAGGTCTAGGTACTGAAGGCACAGACATTGTGGTGATAGTTGAAAATGGAGCCTGATTAACTCCAGTTAACATTGGTGATGATTGTACTGTTTGGATCGGAACAGAAAGAGCAGGAGTGTGTACAGTAACAGGAGCTTCTGGTGTTGGAGGCATGGCAGATTTAGGGAAGGAGTATGGGTTTGACACCACTGTTGGCAGACCAGGGGGTATCTGTGATGCTAGAGGTGGCGCATTATTGGCTAGTTCAGAGGCAGTTGAGAATGGTGGAGTCGCAACAGCTGTTGAGGCAGGTCGCTGTGTCTTCTTTGTGACAGCTGGTCGAAATGTTACAGGAGCAGTAGCAGCTCGAATGCTTATAAAGCCAGGGGTAAACGGACGCGCTGTTCTATTAAGAACATTGCTTGTAGGCAATTCAGGTAACGGTGTTTCAGTAGGGGGTGCAGAGTTGCTCAAAACTGTTACTGAGGCTGGGGCTGGCTTGGGTGCAACAGGAGGAGTTGCCATTTCCATGCTAACTGCACTTAATGCAGAGTGGGGTAGGTCCCCATGAGATACTGCATAGGGCGAATCAGCAGTTTGAGCTTGAAGAGTATGAGTATTATGAGTATTGGACTGAGTTTCCTGTGTAGGACCTGATGGTAATTGTTTTTGCAGTTGTTGCAACTGTGTAGGCATTTCAGGATGTGATGGATTCATGTGACAATGTTCCTGTACTTGAGATCCTGCTGGTGCATGAGGATGTCCTGTCTCACCTTTCTTTGCAAGTTCATCCACCCTTTTTCTCTGCTGCTCAAACAACTGGGCACCCTTTCCCACAGTATCACTCAAACCAGGATCCAAAGCATTTTCTGCCCCAACCTCACGACCTTCTGTGCCTGCTGTTGCCCTCTTTTCCAGCTTATCCAGGTAGTCACTATCCCAAGTTGGGTCTGGAGCCCCAGAGAAGCCTTCCTCATCAAACTCAGATTCGCTGCCAGGAAACACCCCATCATCCTCCTGTGAATCTTCGAACCTGTCCTCATCTACACTCCCAAAGCTTGTGAGGGTGTACTTTTTTGAGCGTTGCCTTCTTTTCTTGAACATCAGCACTCCCTTGGAGTGAGGGTTTGGAGCATCTGTCAGCAAAGATGCAATAGTTCGACACTTGCTTTTGGCTTCCTTTACTTGCTTATCCTGAAGTGTATCTCCTCGATTTAGTTCTGCGGGATATAAAAGTGTAGATATTAAGAAAATGAGTTTGTGTACTATAACACAGTAATTCTCAGAGACACTAAACCTTTAAACCAACAACTGACTATGGCATGAGCATCTAAACATGTCCAGAGCAACATGCCTTGTATTATTCTCTTGACTTGCCACAGAGGCAGTTCTGTAAAAAAAATCCAGGCAAGTATTAAACTACTAGACTTGGTGAAGGATACATTTGCAAAATATTAGACAATATACTCTTAAAGCTATATGAAAAACATGAAAAACTGCAAAATGAACTCTAAAGGGCTGATACAATATATGATCTATCATAAAATGATTCTAAAGAGAAAATCAGCAACCATGCTCTGCTTCCCTACACAAACTGTCATTTGAAAAGTTTTCTTAATTTGTCCTGTCTAAGGAGATAATGAATGAAATCCTGGACCCTATAGAAGGAATTTGTCAGAATAAATTTAAGTTCTTACAACAGTCTGCTTAGTTTTGACTGCTTAGTCTCCATAACCTTATTATGGAACAAAATTATGAAACAAAACAAATTTGCTATATGTTTTGTATTTCTTTTTAAATGCAACTATCCTTTGTCATGCCTGTACCACTAACTACAAATGTTATATTTGTATATAAATGTAAAAATATATATTATTTGTTTAATTCTCTATTTTTACAATTTTGATTTCATTTTAAGAACTCTTGTCCTTAGTGCTTGCAGATTGATTGCTAGGGTTTTTTACAGACATAGCTTGGGATAAATATAGTTAACTATACTGGCTATATTTTGTTTAACATGCTAGACAGGCATTAATCACACTGATCCACCTTAGAGGAAGGTCAGGAGGAATCATCATGCATATTCTCAGGTAAACCCTAGGGAACTGAGGGAAGAATTTAAATGTTCTGACTATGCAAAGGAAAATTATTAACTTCAATCAAGCTTGGAGTTTAAGTCTATGTCCGTAGCTTTACTTACTAGCTTGTTTTGCTTTTTCCATGTAGGTTGTTGTGAGTTCTTCATCAATAGGCTTATTAACAGGACCCACCATGGGCACAAGCTGGCTGCGAGAACCCAACATCAAAGCCTCTTTTGCCCTCTCAGGGGACACTAGTGGCACATTGGCTGGTTCTAAGAAACCACTATCTTCCTCTTGTCCTCCATCCCGTGGCCCCTGGTCATCTGCTGAGGAGATTATGGAGGAAGTTTCAGTAGACGTCTGGGAGGACCATAATCCCGGACCAGGTGGTTTGTAAACAACCTCTTTTCTTGTGACCCCTGGTAGACTTGTTCCTTCATCTCCATTTCCTCCACGCCCTTCCAATGAACGTGGAAAAGCCTGTGCATCTGGAGCACTGTCGTAGCCACTCATCTCTGATGTCTCTCCACCTTCAGGAGATGTCCTTCCTGATGGCTTTCCAGAGTTGGAGTTGCTGGGACTTCGCCGTTTTTGCCGTCTTTGCCTTTCGTAACCCGCCACGTCCGCATCGCTGTCGGTCTCACCGTAGTAAGCTTCACTTCCAGGTGGAGAAGTCAATCCACTAGTCAAGGAAGAACGACTGCGGTGGACCTCACGGACTGGCGCATGGTGGGGTTGGGTTGGTGACATGGCTTTCAGAGCAGCACGGTACTCTTTATCTATCCGTGGAGATGGGGCACGGGTGACAAGGATCACAGACTGAAAAGCAGCAGGTGCCCTGTAAACAGTTAGTGATAACTTCAGTTCGGATTCTGTACTGGATGCCCATTCTCTAAAATAAATAATTGACTGTATTTAAGGAAGCAGAAATATCTGAATGCTCAGCGGTTTGTTTCTTGCTCATATATTGAGAGGTACTGTATGTATACAGCCTCTTTTTCTTTGTAAGTTCTAAATTGTAGTCTGATTATGTTTTCCCAGGAGCTAATCTTCTATTGATTAGGAACCAAAAAAGGACATCTGGGTGTTGAAAGATATGTCTACTGACATCTAAATATGTCTAAAAGTGGTTATAGTTGATTAAACTGGATGATGACAGATTATCAAGTAATTTTTTAGTCCTTATGGCATTACAGAAATATATTTTGTCTCAGCTAAAAAGCGACAAGAACTGAGCAGTATTTAAAAGCTTGAAAAGGATTATGAACGAACAACCATAACTTATAGAGGTAAACTATTCTTATATTGCTGTACCAGTTACCTTTTTACTCTGATGTTTAAAATCCCAGGGGAGCTGTCAATGAGGTTCATGGCCTGTGCATGAGAAAGGGTTCCACATGGATGTTCATTGATAGATACAAGTTCATCCGCCTCCCGCAGCCCAGCCCGGCAGGCCTTGCTACGTTTACGCACCTGCAAATAGGAAAGCGTGTTACAAAAATGATGAGCTTTGTTTATGATATGTTTGATTATTTGAGGGGCAGACCTTGGATAACTCTCCTAAAACGCATTCTTATACTGTACGTCGTACGAATAAGACAAACCTAAGTAAGAAAGTGCACATAAAACAGCAGTTCCCAAAGATTTCCTGTTTGCTTAGGTTGTTTATTTAGGTTTACAAGAAAATAAAAGTCATCCCTCCTCAACTACAATCTCCTTTACATAACAAAACTGCCACCTTTTCAGTAATTTTTCTTTGCCATGTAACATAATTTAATATTGCTATGAATACAATCTTTATTAGCTCTCAAAATGATTATTTTATTCAGTTAATTTTTCTCTCTCTCTTGATATTGCAATGGTCCCCCCACTTTGGTAAGTACTGATATTAAGCTTTACTTAAAACTGGAAGAGTGAAATAACCTCTTTTTTTTTTTTTTTTTTTTTATTTGCAAAAACAAATTTTATACAAACAAATAAATCAAAATTATACTTTATTCAACTATGTCAAGTCTCAGGTTTTGTAAAGATTTGGTTTGAAGGGTGAGTAAATATAGAATTCAATTTTCTGTCCATCAGGAAAATAGTTTATTGGAAAGGTTATTAGTTTCCTGATACATGTGGGGTTTGCCTCATCCTAGCAGGGAGTTAGTATTAAAGGGATGATCTGAGGCGGGCTTCTATCCTGATGTGTTTTGTGACAGTGACTGACAGGAAACAGATTCTGGCTTGACAGCCTAGTCTTGCTGTGTGTGGACATATGCCACAAATTTTAGCTTGAGTGGAGGCTATCGCACACACTTTAGAAGAGAAATGCCAGCCAGCGGTCATCTTCATATGGTCCTTTTGATATTTGTGCCTGAGCTCTATTAAGATCAATGGCATGATGCCCACAGAAAGTTGGTTTAACCCCTTGCAAACAATGGGAAAAATCTGCTTTGTAGATTTTTATATAAAATAGAATTAAATAAATCTATTGATTATTTGGCATAAGGTTTAGAAATATTGCAGATCTGAGATCTTGGCTAAGGCCATTTTCCTTTGGTTTCCCTAATTAGTTGTCTTTTCAGCTATTCTGGTTGCCTGTAATGAAATCCCACATCCCCATTTAGCTAATCCTTTCGAAGTGGTTTGTGCCAGCTTGTGGCCCAGGAAGTCAAGTTATTTGTTCAGTCAGTCACCTTGTGGTTGCAAATCATAACACTTATAATACCCCTGCATGCTTTCTTGCATACACCACATGGACTGATGCAAAAATATACTCAGCCATATAAATAAACATACAAACACCCACATACAGGCTCACAATCACAGACCTAGCTCTGAAACACCGAAACCCCACGCTGTGCCACCTGTTTGAAATGATATAGCGTAAAACCTGACAAGCAGCGATTGTGCCTCTTTGCTTAGAGAGGTGAAGGAGCAGCCAGTTTTGGACGGTCAATCAGATCAGCTGTCCACTGCCTTAAAGGTCATCTGTTAGCAATTTTAGCCAATAATGCCGACAAAAGAAAAATCATCAGTTAAAATACACTGTTAGCATAATAAATTATCATTATTATTTACAAGCTTTATATACATAGGCCTATGAACTTTATTCATGAATTTTGTCACATATATTGGATAGATTTTATCAATCATAAAATGTATATCACAATGGTGTCTTATTAGTGTCAAGTAATAAACCTTGATCCAATTTCATCTAAAATTAGGTCCTTTGGAGAAATTACAATAATATTCATATTTTGTGCTGCTACAGCTATGCAGACCCATTCTTTTCAGTAAAGGATTTTAAAGGTTCATAGATATTAACACATTGTTTCATGTAATAACCAGAAATCCCTTAAAGGTACCCATCAAGCTGATTGCAATTAAAAAAAGAGTATTATTTTACTTCCTCAAGAAAAAAGAAATTCTGGTACAGTAAATTAAATAATAAATCAAATAATTAAAATATTCACAAAGTCCAGGCAACCTGCAGTAGTTTAAGATTAAAGTCTACCAAATCGATTATTAATCCCCCTTGCATGAGGCCTTTTCTCGAACCAAATCATGACTCATTTTCAGGCTCTGAACCAATCTGCACAGCAGCCAATGTTCCACTTCAGATCTCTTTACAGCTTTTTAAATCAGTGCCAGATATATCACAGCTAGTGTTACACATGCCCTTGGTCAGGTTGTTGGATATGATTTTATTCTTTATTAGCAAGCACATTGGAGAAGTTTTTCTTCCCCTTTCTGGGTTATAGACTTACCTTTGCAACTTGGAGTGGTTTTTGATGCTCCACGCCTCCCTGCAGTCGAAACCCCCATGGTGCACCACCGGACAGAGTGATGATCACTTCTTCTGCAACCATTGTTTTGAGTGCTTTTTTGTTTGCTTTTCTTTTTTGGTTTATTTCTTCTTGATTTTTTGGCTCTTATATTTCATCTGAGGGTGGTCCCCTCAGTGCTATGGATCCATGGTTAGCAGTCAGGGCCCCTCGTTGAGCTCTGACCTGCTGTTCTCCTGGCGGACTGTGTCGGTGCCGACTCCCCTCTGAGCTCCACAGCCAACCCTCGCACCTGCACACCCACGCATACGCCCTCCTGTGCAACCCAACCATACCCAGGGTACTTTGGCCATGTTAACCTCAGTAGAGGGGGAGGAGAGGGGGATAAATACAGGGTGTGTGTGTGTGTTTGGTAAGGGACGGGGGCTGGTCTGAGTCTGCTTACACTGAGGAATGTTTGCCCCAAATGAGTGAGGGGAACGTCCAGCTCAACACTTGTCCTGCCACTCAGACCCATGCCTCTGGGTTGATGATAGCCCTTCCAAAAATAGGACCCTGCCATTTCTTCTGCTGCACCATCTTCTCTGCAGACAGAGGTAAAGTTAGCATTCTGGCTTTCCTAATGGTGCTACATTTCTTACATTGAGGTCATTAAGGAACCTTCTGTGTGATTGCAACCAGTATCTCAAATCACACATCTGAGACGTTCAGTGAAAGGACACACTAATCCTGTGCAATTACATTCAAATAGCTTCAAAATAGTGCCAAGAGGTGCTGATAGAAATGAATGATGAAGAAAGATATTCGACCTGATCATATTCATTGAAATCTCTGGAATATGTTTTATGCGCTTTGGGATCTTAATTTTCACAAAGGTGCCTCATGTATAAATTTGCAAACCCACTGAATATTAGATTGAGACAATTTAGATGAATAATTAAGATGAATATTTACTTTTTAAAATCTGTTAACCACTTTTATTTATGCTGATTTCTTAACCAACTATTATCCACTCTCTGTCTAATACTTAAAGGACACTAATTTTTATGTGATCAAATAATAAAAAAACTAACTAAAGAAACTCATTTAAATTGATCAAAGTTAATTTATTTAGTTTTTCTTGGAGGACTTGGCATTAAGGTTTGTTTCTTCATGAAGGTTAGACTGCTATTATCAATGCTATACAGGTTACAGATAGCTGCTCTGTTTGGCAGCAGTGTTCTGCACCTGTTCCTAGACCTCAGGATGGCAACCAAGATCAGCCTTGGGTCGTAAACTGACCTTGTCCCAGAGTCTGTTTGTTTTAATCTAAAGCAGAAATTCAACTACAGATAGGATAATCAAGATGTTTTTGTGTTTTGGGCTGGAGATAAATTGACCAAAAGCAAGATGGTTTTGAGAGTTCATTAAAATTTGATTAAAAAAAAAAGCGACGTCCTCGAACTCCCCCTACTGGTCAAGAATAGCATTGGTGTTTGTCAGCTCATATTGCACTATGTATACAACTCAATAATTTTAGATTTTACGGACAAATGCCATTCGTTCCTTTTTTATTTTAGGTGTGTGTCATTAAAATGCCATCCGACTTAAGTAGTTCAAAGTACTTTCAGTTTTTTTTTTTGTATCTTTGTTGAAATATTCTAAAAAGTGTGTTTCTTTTTATTTGTAGTCCTTTGTATTGCAATATGAAATAATATATTTCAAAATGTATGCTTTAGAAAGACAGTCCGGTTAATACAAACAAATGTGTTATTATGGAGTTGAAAAAAAGCTATTTTATATTCTAGATTTTTATTAAAACTAGCAACGCATGCATGTAACCTCTTTCACTTCGATGCCTTTTAAAAAAAAAGTCATGTTCAACTAACTGCCATCAGGAGCACCTTATTAATAAATAGCTTCCACTTGTGCCTATTCTAATCACAATATAAATACAGCCTTACTGTAAAGGCTTGAAAAGAAAGAAAGTGGAAGTGTTTGCCTAGTGGTTAGAGCAGTGTGCTTGTGCTCTAAGTGGGTTGCAAGTAATCGGTTTGATCCCCAGATTCGGCAATCTGGCTCTCTGAGCAAGACCCTGAATCCCACACTGCTCCCCGGGCGGCGCACAATGGCAGCTCGCTTTCCCCCAAGGGGATGGATTAAATACGGAGAGTGACTTTCTCCAATGTGAGATCAATAAAGTTCTATTTCTACTTCTATCTCCCTCATGAAGGCAGAGGAACACAGCAGACAGACATACAGAGTTAGTTTTAAAAGCAACATCCTAAGCTTTGAACACTGTTTATTCCATCATTTGGGAAAAACTACAAACATACATGGTCACAGATCTAAGCCAGACATTTGGATGGTGAGATTTACGTGGTCAACATCTCTGTGCAAATTCTCAGTCATCTGGGTAATTTTAACCCAAAAAATAAGCTTAAATTTGAGGCAACTTCAGCTCAGTGTTTCTTAAAACGTTTCAACACCAATCTAGGAGCCTTTTTCTATTCTGTTGGCTCACACTAAAGCAGCCTGTAGGTGGAGCTCTGCTTTTGTTAAGCAGTTTAAAGGGGTCATAGAAGTATTATATAGGGCATTTGGTGCTGGTCCTTAAGGTCTCTGAATAGGGTGTGTAACATTGGTTGGGCTGAAAATGGCATATTTGCTGCTCTATGACCCCTAATGCAAGCCCGGTTATAAGCCCTAGAATGAAACGACAGGTTTTCTTCCTTTTATGGTATGCTCATGAATATTTAGATGATATGTTTGGTTGGTTTACAATGAGCGAAGCTGCTGAGCAAAGGTGCATCATAGCAACAAGCACTCACTCACTGAAATATCAAATTCTTGATATGGTAGGGTGACCAGACGTCCTCTTTTTCCTGGACATGTCCTACTTTTCATACCTAAAAAATGTCTGGTATTTTGGTTGACTACTAACTAGGTGACTGTAAAAGAGTAAACAAAAACGTATTGGCTTATTTTTCTGACTAATTCAATCAGCGCGACTCTGACAATCAGTCGCCTGGAATGTTCATTGAACAGAGCAAAGCTTTGGACAGATACCGCACAGGTTTCACAGGCAACCTCCTCCCCACACCCTGTTCTCTCTTGTCTGCGCAATCAAAGTAGTTCTAATCCTCTCACTGTGCATGAATCATTGTATTGCCTGCACACTCTAAAAAAAATAAATAAAAAACAGCACCTCGCAGAGCCTAAAATTCAGGATAAATTATCCGACACGTGAACCAGTGGGCTGGTCTGTATGTCAATTTCAGGGCGTGACAAAAGCAAAGGCCAGAACTAAATAAGGCTCTAAAGGTGTTGAAATATTTTCAGAAAATCAAAGAGAAAGCCTGGTTGCCTCCAATTTATACCTGTTTACTACTTGCTCAACAATGATTAAAATCAAACAAAATTTTAATTAGTAGTCCAATTTATAAATCATAGAAATGTTTAAATCAATTTATAGATCTCAACTATAAAACTGTTGTAGATTTGTCTGGTTAAAAGAGTTAAACAAAATATGATATGTTTGTTTTTATAGATTTTTGTTTACGAAAAAGGATATGGCATACAACTGTTTTTTTTATTTTATTATTTAAGTCAAATGTTGCTGCTCTATTTGCAATTAAATAAAACTAAAAGCAAAAACTGAAGGTTGAAAAAAAGGTGCCAGGAGGTTCACAATAGCATTTGCGCACTAAAAGGTAACTTGTTTTATACTTTTTTGGAGAAAAAGAAATCTGCTCATTCTATTAAAAAAAAATAAAAAATAATAAAATATAGATCTTTTTTTCATCCAGGGTTAAGGTAGCTGCAGTCATGTCAAGTTAAGAAACTTTAAAACTGTATTGATCAGTTCTAAGTTTGCATATTGATTAAGAGCATTTTTGAAAGTGTGATGTTGACACTAACAACAATATTGTACAACTAGATGAGAGGTTTGCTCTCATGGTCATAAAAATGAACGAATCTTACTGCCAGTTTATTGGTCTTTTCACTAATAAAAGGGGCTAGGAATGATAATTATATGACCATCACAACACCATTGGAAAGAACCCTGAACTGGAATGTCTTTGACAAGAGTGACCTATTGTGCAACATATTTCGAAGACAGATGGTCTGACCAATGGTTTTGTGTGTGAGCACAGATAAGTGTGCACGGCTGACTCACTGGTGGCAGGACACAGGTTTCTTAGGGGCCACCTGGCTTAGTGCCATGTCTGTCTTAAACAGCAGATGATACGGGAATGCTTCTATCCATTGGCAATGGGAGCCAAGGGTCAATAGTTCAGCAGGGAAGAGGGAGCCAAGCTGAACGCATGAAACAAAAACAAAAGGTCAGTATGAGAAAAAAACATTATGTTGCAAGCATGCATGAGAATAACCTGCTAATGAGGAGAGTGGTTTAATGATTCATATTAATATTTGTACTCTGAAGGCAGCTTATTAAAATGAAAGTGTACAAATAGGCATCTGATTTGTTGTAACCAGCATTATTGACTGATCAGCTGCCCCAACAGTGAAAACTGAGACTTAACAGGTAAAGCTGTAGCTATGGTTTAGAAGGTATAGAGATATTAAGATAATTTAAACTTAAGCGACCCCTTTATATATGTCTTTTTTGGTGTATCCTCATATATAGTTTATACCACTTTCCGTTGAACATGATAACTTTAGGTTTAGACAAATAAAAAGTGAACTGGAGTTTGTAACTCAGGAATTATCCTTTGCCTTACTCTCTGAGTTTATTATTTTGGTTCACAGTCTGAATGAATCTGGATCACAATCAGACTAACAAGAAGTAAATCACTGAGTTATAAGCCAGTTTTTATAGTCTTAATATTTCTGTGAAAAACCCATCTAGAACCTGGCTTTTATTTTGCTCCTCAGCAGGGTGGAACTCAAGCTATCATGGTAACTATAGGTGAATGCAACTGACCAAAGGAAAAGTTTTGATAGGATGTTAAAGTCCCTCTTAACAGTTAATCTATGTCTGATTTCAACCGTTTTTGCTCCCACAACAAAATAAACGTAGACTTAAAAGTAAAAAAAAATGCTAAACATATGATACAAGAAAAAAAATAAATAATACCATGCTGCTGTGTATGGAGCCCCCCTAAAAAAATGCAGATTAAATTTAGTTAGGTGGGAAAACCTTAGGGTAGGGTAACACTTTATTTGGTACTCTGAAAAAAAATATTTAGACTTTTATCATCAGTGTCTTGCACAGCAGATTGATTGGAGACTCTTCCTACTGAAATTAGCGGGTTTTTCAAACATGAGTCAACCCTCTAACAGTTGGCATTTGGCTCCCTTCCCATA